CTTTGCATCATTGTATGGGTTTGCACCAAAATTTTATTTGCTTTTTCACATTTTAAAGGACAAAAGAAGAATGCTGAACTGAAATATTTGGGGAAATGTAGTTCTCTACTAACTCTTATACAGCAAATTTGCAAGTAGATGGCATATCCTCAATGGGTCTCACAGTGTAAATTAAACTTTGGTATTAGACAATCTTACATTAACTCCAGAACTGTATTTATAATATTTGGAGAGAAAAAAAAGTTGTGTTGCCTTCAATCAGGTACAATTTGGCTTAAAATGTTGTAACTTTTGGCATGAAGTAAATTGAATGTTTTGTAGTACATTGATAAACTAATCACTAGGCCTTTTGGGAGAAAAAATTCAGAAGCACTTTCAGCCTCTCCAGTATCTAGTGTAAAAGTGTTGAATTGTTGTTTTCCTGAATTGGAAGTTCCTGGAATTATTTTCAGTAAAAAATGGGGCTATATTTGCTGCCTAAAGCAAATAACTGCAAAAGAAGCTTCATTCTGTCTGAACGCTCTTGTCGCATAGACACTTCATCAGAAATGCTATGTGATTGTGTGTATGTGTGCATTAGTGCATCTAGAGCATTTTAGATCTTTACTAGTCTCTTGTACTATAGATAATGTAGTATAGCATGGAAAATTTATCATTTATTTATTATTTACTTTGACTACATTGTTTGCAGTCTTTCCTCTTTATACCCATTATACATTTTCACCGTTTGTGTAGCAATTAATTCTATATTTTTATTTAGTTTTGTTCATTTTGTTATTTCGTTAAACATTTTTTCATATTTACTACTATTGCTCCATACAATTCTGTGGCCCTCTGAAACATTTTTATCTTTGTTCTAATCAACTTCTCCCTGATTGATCTTCTGCCCAGTCATTTTGTTGGAAAATAAATCTGTCTTCTACTATTTTCTACGAAGTAAATATGAAATTTACTTTCTTTTGCTATTCTACTTCCACTAGTGTTCATTTCAGGGTTTTTTTTATTCTTTTCCACATATCATTTTTCCAATGATCACTGCTGGCATAAAAAATACGATGTTGTACATTCAGAACTTCTCAACATCTTCTTTTCTTCAAATAATGCCATCACAGTAAGCAAACTGAAGGAATGAATTCAAGTATAAACTTTATTTGTGTTAAACAGATTTGATTCTGTGGAGTGTTCAGAGTTAAAAGTTATTTGTACATAGTATTTCTTGGGGTAAAACAAAATCAAAGATTCGCTACTATCTCATCTTTCATTCTGACTGAAGTGGCTAGCGGAGTACATCTTGTGGTTTGTTAATTGTCAGTCAAAGCTGTCACTTTAGCAGAATCTGAGACAACTAAATATATATATAGGTAAATGCAGGAGGGTCATGGTAACAGGAGTTAGACAGATGCCTCAATTGTGGTGTACACAGGTTGAAAGCTTGCCTAGGCCTGAGAATTCTTCACCAGCTTCAACACAACTTAGTATGTTTTAAAATTTGATCAACAAATAAAAGAAAATAAATGGTCAACTTTGTTTCTAGTGTAAGAAATGTTAAATCTTTCTGCTTCCTATTTTGGGTAAAGGGATGGGATGTTGATTGCCAATTTGGCTCCAAAGTAACAGCAGCAACTATTGCAGATATGCAAGTAAGAGGGAGAACAAGTACAACAACTTCACAACACAATGGAATATATGTGAGTGAGGTCAGAAAGGGCTTTGGATGGGAAAATGTTCAATCCGTTTTGGTAGGAGAAAAATCTTGGCATGTTTCCCAGGCCTTTGGTGCAAATTGACTATGTAGGTACCAATCATGTAATAACAGTGTTTACACAGGATGGTCAATGGCTAGACCACTATATAAGTCTAGTAAAATAATAAATCTGAACCTTTGGCAAGCCAGTTGCCAGACAACATTGGTAATACTGAGCCACACGGGCCAATGGTTTAACTACTCCAGTGTCAAACTCAATTTCACTGAGGTCCGCATCAGCATTGCGGTTGCACTTGGGGGTGGTGGCCAGAGTGGGTGTGGCCTACTGGGTGGGCATGGCTGGAATGGGTGTGGCCTACTGGGTGGGTGTGGCCAATTCTACATCATTCGCGTCAAGGGTGCCTGTGGGGGCCTGGGCAGGAGTGGGACAGGTCTGAGGGCCTCTGGCAGAAGGGGGTGGGATCGGGGCAAGTGCCAAGGCATGGTCCACCAGGGCAAGTGCCAAGATGGCCACCACAAAATTATACATTGGCTCCCGGCTGGCCTGGGCCAGGGCCAAGGCAGTGACGGCCGTTCCCTCACTGTTTCCAGGATGGCTTCGCAGGCCACATCCGGCCCCCAGGCCTTGTGTTTGACATGTCTGAACTACTCAATAAAAGACAGCACACGGTCTAGACCAGGGGTAGGCAACCTTGGCTCTTTTATGACTCATGGACTTCAACTCCCAGAATTCCTGAGCCAGCTTGGGAATTGAAGTCCACAAGAAATAAAAGAGCCAAGGTTGCCTACCCCTGATCCAGAGAAAAAAACTTAAATCTTTAAAGGTGAAGGTTCGTTCTCCGAGCTTGCGGGTTGGTTTCCAAACATTTTGTTACCAGGCTAACATCTTCAACGGCGTTTTAAGCATCCCCTAAACACCACTGAAGTTGTTACCTAACCTGGTAACGAAACATCCAGAAACCAACCCACAAACTTCGAGAACGAACCTTCACTCTCATCTTATACCCGAGCTACAGATATTCACCACTATTGCAAACTTAAATCTTTCTATCTCTGAGCCGCTTTTATACTGTATTTCCACTTTTATTGCTAGTTTCCTCTCCTCCTCCCTTTTTTTTTAAAGGGCACAGTTTGAAAAAAACCTGGCAACTCTACCAGATATTGAGCCGCTGAAATTACAGATCATTTCCAAAATGTACATGGAGTTCTAAGTTTGGGAATTGCTGTTCATTTTGCTATGGAGGCTTCTATACAACCAGGTCATAAGCTATACCTTCAGAGCAGAGAAAATGTTGCTGAAAATAAAGTGCTCCTCACTGAGCATTTTAAACTACAATATGCTATGTGTGTGTGTGTGTAGATGTGTAAACTCACACATGCAGACAGATATAGAGTTCAATGTTTCAGGTGATTAATTTTCCATGGCAATAAAGCCTCTGAAATCTGGAAGTTTTCCAGCAATAATACTCAGACACTATATAGATTTTCAGTAGTTTTATTGAAAAATGCCTCTTTTGTTTCAGAAATAAATAATATAAGGCAGTGAAATTCACAATTTGCAGTTAAAATATAAAAGCAGCAATTCTATATCCATAGTCTTGCAAACAATTTCCAACTGCTTTTTTTTCTGATAACTATGAAACATTATATTCTGGAGAGAAGGGGAATCATAACTAAATATACAACACAAACATGCAATTCCATCTCTGCAGGATTGACTGCAATTTGGCATAAATGTTAAAGTCTCTAAAACAAGGAAAATTAAGCCGTTACTTCTTTTAAAATTGTATCCAGTTGATACAAGGATGCCAGGTATATTATTTAAAGGTTTGTGGTTGTTAAAAGGGATGCATAAAAGCAGCATGTGCCCTGAAAGATATATGCAAAAAGTAGAAGAAACTGCTTATGTGGAAAGGGAAATTTCTTCTTTTATTAGATGTTGCAGATTGGTAACAGTGACTAAATTACTGAGCAAACAATTTGATGAGGAAGAAAATGATAAGGCAAGCTCTTCCATTGCTGAGACATCCACATTACTTGTAGTAGCTGTGAAGAAGTTGGGATTTCTGTGGTTGTTATATTTTTATATATATTAAAAGAACTTAGCCTTGCGGTCACTTTGATGCACTTGTTAAGGTTTAACGCAGCCACCTGAAGCACAGGTATATTACAGGCATTCCAAGAGAGAGAGAGAGAGAGAATGAAACGTGTAGCAACATCTATTGCTATTCCCACATACGCCAGATATTTCTCAGAAGATTTAAGTTGTACTTCTGCTTGGAAACACGGTAGGAGGAATAGCATATCTACATATGAGAGAATGGCAACAACAAAAACAAATACCCAAAGGGAAAGGGGGTGGGGAGAGAGGAGTGAGAAAATAAGACATTTATGGTTTTGTTTTTGCTTTTCTTGATAAGGAACGTTTCCAGCGCATATGTTCAGGGAACCCAGGTGAGTGCATATCAGATCCATAGTCCTCATAGTGCTCATCTCTTCTTTCAGGTTCCACTGGTGCTATGTAGGCCTCACTGTCAGGCTGATATGGTCCACTGTCAGGTACATAGGACTCTGGTTGAAAATAGTTGTCCAATGGAACATTAAAGTTATTATCATATGTCTTTGAATCAAGAGGGGATTTCTTTTTCTTAAGTTTAAAAGCAGGCTATTAGGTTGTTGATGTTTTGTTTTAGTAAATCTGGGATGGTTTGTCTTTTTTCTTTTAGTCAATCCTTAGGGCTTTTATTCAGAAGCGATTTCATTTAAAAAAAAAAATCACCCTAACCAATGATCCTAAAATCAATAATTTATGTAGAAATTCTGCTACGCATATGGATCTCAACAAGGGGAGTTGTGACTGAGGCATTGATTGCCCTTGCCTTTGACATGAAGGCTGGAGCTTTACATGTGTGTCCAACAAAAACAGATGGTGTGTGGGGGGGGAAAGCACCATGTTTTATCTGTTGAAGAATTTTTTTCTGCTCCCTTTCAAAACTTTTTTTTAATGGCAAATTAACATAAACAAAATTTAAACAAAAATAATAACGTCCACATCTAAAATATTGGAAACAGAAGTTCTGTGCAAAAATTAAGTCTCTTAGGGAGCAAAGAGACTTAATGGCAAGCAAATTAGCAAGTCCTACTTGCAGTTTAGTCTCTAACATTGATTTTGTGCAATGTAGACATAATAATCTTTCAAAAATAATTTCAATTTGGGAGAAGAAAAAATTCTGAAACAGAAAGAATACTGGCACAATTTAAGGACTGCAATGCTCAAAATAATTTTGAGGTTAGGTTTTTTTTTAAGGTATTAAAATTACAAACTCTAAAGTCAAGCCTTGAGTAATTTCCAGTGAAAACAGTTGAGATTTATTAATCTCAATTAGTCACAATTAGTTGTAATTTACTCCATTTATTTCACTGGGACACAATTAATTTTAGTAGGCTTAATGTATACTTAAGTAATCTTTAAGAGTTCCACTTAAGTGAAAGCCAATTATTAAAACAAATGCTTTGTTCAAATGGGAAACCTTCATGTATGCAACATTGTTTTATTCAAAACAGTTCCCTAGGGTGTGGCAGAAATTTACACCAAGTTGTCGCCAACAGTAACTACTATTTTCTGACAAATGTGCCTCATATCCAATTGAACCAGAGCTAGTGCTAGAGGAACACCAAAGATTTCAGGAAAATCGGAATTAAAATTAATTGTATTTTCAGCACTTGTAAGAAGATTACATATACAAAAAAGCCTCAAGTCCTGAATAAGGTAAGATGGAGATAAGAATAACAAAGAAAAGAGAGAAAGACTTCTAGAGTTTCGAAGAAATTATGCTGGCACAAATTAAAAAGCAGCAGGAGGTTTGAATGCAAAAGCATGATGTAATGTTAACTAGGTTTAGTGGACATGATTCCATACAGATCATTTACAAGCCAGAATTAGTTCATTATTTACAGTCATTTTCTGTTTCGCCAAGGTAAATATATTATGGTGTTATGTTCATTAATATGTTTATAAGCCTCCGTTGCCATTCTAGTAACTTGGTTTTGATATAATTGGACAGTAAGTAGAGGGAGATTGAGTTTACATCCCTTGCTTTATCAAATGCCATTGCCCTTTACTGCAATCACAAATGCTTGTTAGTAAGTACATTCTTTTAAAAAGAGCATCTCCCCTCTTATGAGGCCAACACTATTTATGTAACCATTATCTATAACGAAATAACCATACAGATTCACGTCCAAGTAAGCACGTGCACAAACATCTCAGAAACAGGATTTTCATGAAAATTCAAACTCTAAGCAGCACTGACGGCATAGAAAATTTGTTAGCCGGATCCTGAAATAGGTCAAAGATTTAGTTTTCAGGGTTGAACAGCTGTGCAAAACTGTTTTTCATTCATTACATCCATGAGAGTTAAATTGTATGTATATCTATATCTATATATATATGCCAGATTATTTTCTGAAAGGGTAGCACTTCAGTATTACTTTCCATTTATTTCTCATTCAATTGTTGATATTGTGCAAATTTTGCATTATGGCTTATTCTATTGAATTTGATCTACCCATCAATACTATGAATGTGTGTGTACATATATATATATATATATCTATATATATTCACGTATACATGCAAACAACATAACAAACAGCAATATCATGTATAAGGTGCTACAGTGCACACAACAAATTAGTGATCAATATTAAGGGCCTGGAATCTTTTCTTGAAGAGGCCTTAAATATATGGCATGGTCACTGGTTATGATCCCAGTTTAGTGATTTGGTATCCTGTGGTCACAAATATCCAGCATTTAAGTTCCTTTGACCATTCAGTGCTTCAAATTGACTCTTCTCAGAAGAAATTTGCATAACAGACCAATATAGTAGATTCCATTGAATTTGATACAGTGCAAATAATGACTTCCCATGCCCTAACCCTTGCCTAGTTGTCTGCACTGTATCACAAAATGACATTTGAGATGGAAAATTAGATTTCAGGTACTAATTTTGTATAGATAATCCCATCACGAATCAGAAAGATGAACGTGGAAATGGCAAACTCTGTCCTTTATACTTTAGACGAATGGTCAACCTTGTTCAGAAGTACAGGAGTAGTTTGATGGAGAAGGAAAACAGGAAGAAGAAGGAAAAATGGTCAATTATGTCCTAAGAACAATGTGCCTTATCCTTTCACTTTAAATATAAGAAATAAATTAGATTGAAATATATAAACTACTTTTTTTCCTTAAAGTAAAATTGGCACTTCAAACTGGGACAAAGCTACTTCAAAAACTGGAGAAATTTTATAAACATGAAAGAAACCAGTGATGAGAATCACAACAAATATGTTTAAATCTGATGGAGTTGGAAAGCTTACACTGTTCAGCAGTTGAGTTATAGTTCAGTTTTAATGTCTAATTAATTCTACTTTTATTGCAACTTTTCACAGCATAAAATTATTCAGGCTGAACAAGCTTTTATTAAAGTATTCAATGACATTTAAGTTCTCAATAACCTACCTGGGTATCCTTGACCATTGTAAGCAATGCTAGCACACAGGGATGAATCACAGTATCCTGGAGGCCCAGGAGGGCCTCTGATACCACCATTACCAGGTCGGCCAGGTGGCCCAGGTGGACCTCGGGAACCTGTAGAACCTGGTGAGCCAGTTCTGGATTCTCCTTGTGGACCTAATTGTAGAATGAAAAGGAAGGTATTGTATCAATAAATTCAATACGAGGCAGTTTAGTAAAATGGCTGGCAAAATTAAGAACTAGATTACACTCAAGCATATAGTTAAGGAATGTTTCTGTTCAGTTTCAACATATGGTGTTAATGAAACAACCACGGGAAACCAAAACGTAACTCATCATTAGTTGTTTCCCTGATTTTAAGATCTTTAGACATAGAAAATTGTTTTGGCCTGACTGAGTCTGGTGGATTACACAGGGAAGCAACTTCTATGTTACGTTTCAAATAAAGCATAAGATTACTTTAATTTTGCTACTCCATAGCTTTAGAATAGATGAGATAATGTTTTCCTTGGAACCATTTATGTTCATGGTTAAAAGAAATGGAAGTTTTCATAAAATGAAGGTAGAAATTGTTATGAGCTTATTATGGAGTTTGTCATGAACATTCAATAGTAAACTGAAGACAGAAGCAATGAGACAGAATCCGACTAACCCTGCCAAGATCTAAATAAGTTACCAAACTATAATGATAGCAAAACTAGCCACCATGACAACATCAGGATCTATGAGAGAGCCCTGTAACTTTGTATATGGAGAGAGAAAAGAAAAAGAGAGGGAGGGAGGGAGGGAGGGAGAGGGAGGGAGAGGGGGACAGGAAGAGGGAGAGAGAAGTATCACAAACAAAAGCCAATTGCTACTATGGAATTTCTCAATATTTTCAACTGATATGTGGCTTTACGAGGATGAGCAACATGATGAATGAATAAAAGTTTCAAAAATTTAATAATATATATCATTATTTTTAATAGTATATATCACTATTATAACCTACCTGGTGGCCCTGGCAAACCTCGTGATCCTTGTATTCCAATTCCTCTTTCACCTTTCTCTCCAGGCGGACCTAAACCACACCAAAAAGAAAATATATTCAAGCTGCATCACAGAAGTGATGGCTTTAATTGCTCAGGAAACATCTAATGTCAGCAGTTTAATCAATGCCATTTTGAGCAGCTCTTTGAGCAGTTTTCATGATCTGATATTTGAGGTTCACGTGTGTTCTTTGTTTTGCTGATAGTCCCACCACTGTTCTAAACCCGGAAAGTTTAGAACCCTCCCGCCTTCAGGGGAATATCCCCATGACTCTAAGGACAACCCACCTCGCTCGCCAGGGGATCCTTGCATGCCAGGTGAGCCCGGAAATCCTGGCCTGCCTCCACTTCCAGGCTCTCCTGGGGTCCCAGGAGATCCAGGGGGACCTGGTGGCCCTGGAGGTCCAGGCTGGCTGCGACTTGAATGGTAATCGTTTGGAATTTGATTTAGCATCTGGTTAAATCGGGTCATTTGGCCTTTTGGGGGACAAAAAAGGAAGAAATAGATTAATTAAGAGAGTGAATAAGGAAACATCTTTTAGAGTGATTAAAAAAACTCTGCACCCAGCAGCTGGTGCCAGAGTTGAAACCAGTACAGTTTACCATTTTAAAAAGAAAGAACTATTCAGCGAATGGAAGACTTATGCATATTCTTATATCCTTTCCCTTCCCCAACTCAATCAGGAATAAATTGTGCTGTACAGTCACTTAAGATACTTGATTATGTACTGATTTCTCTGATAAAATTTTTTACTACTCCTCTACAGTTCCTACCCACCAGTAAAAATATATAAATTAAATCTAGGCTAATGAATAGCCAAATATGTGTAACTGTCTAAAGTGATACAGATCTGCCTCCTGGATTATGACCAGTGAATAATAAACAGTTAGGATGGTTACTTGAAGAATGGGGGTGGGAAGAGGAAATGCATTACTAAGCAGGACATTGAAAATAGCACATGTAAATTTTCGTTAAGTTAGCACAGGGTTTTTCAATGGTATTCCACAAAATCCTAGAATTCCATAAGAAATAGACAGTGAGATATTAAGAGATAAAAACATTAGTTGATTGTGGTTTTTTAACTAACAGATTCTCCAGTTCTAGTCCAGCTGGGTGGCGTTGGGTCAGCCCCTTCTCTCAGCCCTAAGAAGAAATCACTTTTGAAAAACTTTGCCCAGAAAACTACAAAAACACATCCAGGCTATTGCCAGGAGTCAACACTGATTCAAAGGCACAAAACAAAACAAAATGTTAATTTGCAAACATAAATCTAAATGTTAAAAAAGAATTACTCCTAGCAATACTATCCTTCTCAGCTTGACTTCTGGCACAGACTCCTGAACTAACGAAGGTGCCATTGATAAGCAACTGAAAATATTTTGTTCTGTGTGCTTCTACCTCCGATAAGGATTGTGAACTAATATGCACTTGTAAAAGAAACTCTCTTCTGATTTCTCATTAAGAAAACAACCTTTTAGAGCAGGGGTCTTCAAACTTGGCCCTTTTATGACTTGGGACTTCAACTCCCAGAATTCCTCAGCCAGTGTGCCTGGCTGAGGAATTCTGGGAGTTGAAGAAAACAAGTCATAAAAGGGCCAAGTTTAAAGACCCCTGCTTTAGAGGAAGGCTGTTATAGAGCATATGGCTACTCTGCAAACATCCCACATGCTTAAAATCTACACTGTGTTAGTGCCTGACAACTTGGTATATATGTTGGTATGTGATAGAAGCACCACTTACTGTTGATCATTTGTTCGCAGACTTGTCTTGCCACAGCTCGCATCATACTCTGGGAAGCAATGTCTCCCTTAATAAATAAAATGATTGTTGGATTATATCTCACTGTAAAAAAAACTGCATTTAATAAGTTAAAAAATGTATGTGAATTAATTCTAAAGCTGCACTTACTCGGTCACCTTTTTCACCTTTCAATCCAACTGGACCCTGTAACAGATTATAGTCCATCAAAATGTTATCACAGGACAGCTTTGTGAAGCACAAATAAATGATACAGGTAGCAAAACCCAAAAGAATGAATTAAATATATATATATATATATATGAGACTTATATACCGCTTTAAGCGCAAGCACTCTCTTAAGCGGTGTACACCACTAAGCAATGTATATATATATATTTACATTGCCCCCAACAATCTGGGTCCTCATTTTACCTACCCCGGAAGGATGAAAGGCTGAGTCAACCTTGAGCCGGTGAGATTTGAACTGCTGCCCTGCTGAACACAGTCAGCTAAAGTGGCCTGCAGTACTGCACTCTAACTGCTGCGCCACCTCGGCTCATATATACACACACATACACATACACACACACACACACACACACACACACATATATATATATATGTTTTCTGAGGTTTTCGCGGGTATTTGTATGTAGGTCTTTGGTTGTTCGGGTTTTCTCCCACGTAAAATTGGAGGTGTCTTGGCGACGTTTCGACGAAGTCGGAAGATGACGAATGGGACTTCGTCGAAAACGTCGCCAAGACACTCCAATTTTACGTGGGGAGAAAACCCGAACAACCAAAGACTATACATATATATATATATATATATATATATATATATATATATATATATATATATATATATATTTATTTATTTATTCTGTATCAAATGAGCAGCAACCGTCAGGAATTGGAGGGGAGAGACATAAGTAAACAGCCTCATAAAATTTAGAGTCAGGGTATCATCTACATATGCAGAAAAAAGATGTGGTGAAATATTGAGCAGATTAGACTACTGATCTGCATTTCCCCAGGCTGAAAATGGGATGCCACAACTGAATGTTTTCTTGATTTTTAAATATCAGAATACCATTTTTCCTCTTACAATTATATAGGAAAGAGCTGTTTGAAATAGTATAGTGCTGAACCAATGGATATTCTTGCTCATTGATTCAGCAGGACTGAATCTCATTATGCAGCATTGTAGAACATATGAACGTCTTGGAGCTTTATTCATACGCAGCATAAACAATACTGTTTGCAGGGTGAGGCTAAGTGACTGACAAGGATTGTGAAGATTCATGATTGTGCCTCATCCTCTTTTTCCAGCAGCTTCCTGTCTTTCTTCCCTACCACCCATCAGCTTGGCTGCTTCCCTCTGTTCCCTTCTATACCTTTTCTGGTGGAGCAATCAGGCTTCATTCCCTATAGAAAACATAGCCCCATTTCATCCATGTATGGACCCAAACAGCCAAAATCTATGTGTTTCTTTTCAAGCACCAAAAACAGCTGTTTCATTCATTTGGAAACTGCACGGGATCTTTTACTTGGTAATGTATTTAAATTCTGATTTCCTTTTTTATATACATACCCTTCACTCTATTTCCTTTTGTGGTAAGCAACATGATGCAATACACAAAAAAAGAAGTAAGAAATAGTAAGGAAAAGGAATTAAGGCATGAGAAGGAAAGGTAGCTATATAGCAAACACTTTGATCTGCAAATCATTCTTGCTTGCTCTGCATCCATGAACTGTTCCAAACATTGTTTTGTGATCTTCCTGTTTGCCCTTTTAACAGATAAAATGCTTTATAGCAGCACTGCCCATACATATGTATGTTTATAGCCTTTAAATTCTAATGGCTCATGAATACAGAAATTGGTCTCATATGTTTAAGGAATATGGGAAACTACCACATGAAACATGAATCAAAATAGTTCAAAAGCATTGGCTACGTCTTCCTAGATTTCAGACACTGGTCTCTCCTTTTTTCCCCCCTCCTCAAAATGCTGAACCTTTTGCAATCAAAGCAGTTATAGGACCATTGAGCTATATTCTATCTCTGGTTCCAAAAGAGATTTTTATTAATAAAATATATTCCATTCTGCCTTGACAAGGAAACCAAGTTATCTATAACTAATGTTAATGTAATGATCAAGCAGCCTTTTAAGTGTGTAACTTTCAACTTTATCATCTGAAATAGATCTGTTTAGAGATGTCCATAAGAGTGATTTGAGAAAGAAGGTGTATTCAAATACATTAGTATTTCTATTTTTCCTCTGAGACATTCCTTCAGTATTGTTTTCTGCAGTGTATTCCAATCTCTATGAATGCCAATTCAATGAGAAAATAGGGTAGGTCTGTATATAGTTAATGTTCAGTTTCTGTACAATAAATGGATAAAATAAGTTTCAAAAGTTACACAATTGAGCATTGATCTCTTTTCAACTAATGCTTCCCTCATTTTTAATTAAAATGAAATGTGGAAGAAACAATCCAACTACCTGATGAAATATCATAATGAATTGTCCAAGCAACTGTTGTTATTCCCTGGAATAAGGGGACTTCATTTCAGAGCCTCCCCCAACTCTAATTGTTAAAAAATAAAAACTCTTTCAAGTCAAGCTTGTCTTTATATGTGTAGTCCTTGGCAATAACATGCACATGGCTTCCCTCTGTCTTCTTCCTTGATTGTTTTGCAGCCTGTCTAAGCTACAGTCCTGGAATTTCCAAATTGTCCCACAGCCAGATATTAGCCAGGTCCAGTCCTGCTTAGTTTCCAAACTAAGTTCAGTCAGGTGCTGTTTCATTTATTAAAAGCAACACTGAAGGAGTTGGTTAGAGTGAAGTTGTCAGAGTGATTGACTGTTCTACTATATGCACTTTATACTACAGACATTCAGCAATAGTATTTTGTAGATACACACAAACAAGCATACAAATAATCCATCTGTAGGACGTTTGTATGTATAAATCTTAATACAATCCTTTCAGAATGTAATATAACTGAATAAGCTATATTCCTTTATTAGCAAATGGAAGAGACCTCCCCCATTCCAAAATCTACTGCCTCTCTTCTTTAACCAATGTCACTGGCCTACTCTGAATATTAAATATTTTTGCAAATGTCTCCCTGAAATGTGTCACTTAATGCTTTTTCATCAGCTCAGCAAAAGACACCAGTCTATCTGGTACTAGTCAGTTTCTTTCAAAACTTCTCAATGTGTTTTTAAGCAGGCTTAATGATACACAAAAATATTCCAGAAGTCAGGACCAGAACATCACTGTACGCAATTAAATACAATGTCAGTATTTATAAAATATGTCACTGAGATCGTGAACAAAAGTAAAACATTTACACTAGAGATAATTTCAAATATAGGGACTTCAGCATCAAGCACGCCAACTCAAAATGCCCTTTTATATTCTTAAGTCTGGTGGTGGATGTAAGATTCAGAGAGCACATCTGTCTCTGTTTCATAATTCTTTGTTACTGCCAGACTATTTAGAATGAAGTAACATCAGCAACATGCACTGAAAATGAAGACAGCATGTGCTCACAGACCTATGACAAAGTATACCCTTAGGAAGCCAAGCAATAGCAGACTCCATCTCTCCAAAAGAAAAATAAAATAACCCCAAAAGAGCACACACGGAGTGGGTAATTAAACCATTGTTCAAATAATTTAAAGAGTTGTTATACAGAATAAAGTCATGACCTGTTGATTTTTTTTGCGTGTGTAGAATGCAGGTCATATGACAATAATCTTAAACAATGGTTCTAAATCTTATTTATTTGGACAAATATGCGCTACCAGGGTTTGACGATGCAGTGTCTGTATACACCCTGGATATATAATTCACTTAGATGGCAGCTGACTCCCAAATTAAATGAACAAGTTTAATTTTTAAAATCCTGAGAGAGATATGGGAAGAAAGCCATACCCTCATAAGATGATAAATGAGAAAGGCAACATGTTCAAAAAACTGGTGATCTTGAGAAATATTATCCATTTCAAATTGGATATGATTGATAGTTACTTATGATACTCTTATGGACTTTATAGTTTGGGAACTATTGATTTTAGCCAACAGGGAGCCATGTGCTAGTTCTATGTTGGAAAAAGAAAAGAACAATTTGATATGAAATCAATTATCTAGATTGGGTGGGTCCATTTTACCAGATATATTCAAGCAGAGAGTAAAGAGAAATAGGTCAGGGTTGTTGTAATTTGAATTCCTTCACTGACTCAAGAAATTTTGGTCCTGATGACCTATAAAGGGGAAAAAAAATAGATCCAGGAAACTACAGACCTATCAGCCTGACCTCAATACCTGGAAAGATTCTGGAAAAGATAATCAAGCAAGGAATCAACAAACACCTAGAGGCAAACAAAGTCATAACCAAAAGCCAACATGGATTTGTCAAAAACAGATCATGCCAGACAAACCTTATTGTATTCTTTGACCAGGTGACACTATTAGTGGACCAGAGGAATGCTGTGGATATAATTTACTTGGACTTCAGTAAGGCATTTGTTAAAGTAGATCACAACCCACTACTAGGTAAGATAGATAAATGTGGGTTAGACAGCATCACCACCAGATGGATTCGTAACCAGCTGACCAACTGCACTCAACGTGTAGTCCTCAATGGAACTGCATCTACATGGAGGGAAGGATGCAGTGGGGTACCCCAAGGCTCTGTTTTAGGCCCAGTACTCTTCAACATCTTCATCAATGATTTGGATGAGGGGATAGTTGGGGAACTCATCAAATTTGCATGACACCAAGCTGGCAGGAATAGCCAGCAGTGTGCTGCAGCTGCCAAAAAAGCCAACACAATGCCAGGCTGCATTAACAGAGGGATAAAATCAAAATCACGTGAAGTATTAATAACGCCTTGGTAAGACCACACTTGGAACAATGCATCCAGTTTTGGTCACCACGATGTAAAAAAGATGTTGAGACTCTAGAAAGAGTAAAGAGAAGAGCAAACGAAGATGATCAGAGGACTGGAGGCTAAAACATATAAAGAACAGTTGCTGGAATTGGGTATGTTTAGTTTAATGAAAACTAGGGGTGACATGATAGCAGTGTTCCAATATCTCAGGGGCTGCCACAAAGAAGAGGGAGTCAAGCTATTCTCCAAAGCACCTGAAGGCAGGACAAGAAGCAATGGATGGAAACTAATCAAGGAGAGAAGCAACCTAGAACTAAGGAGAGATTTCCTGACAGTTAGAACAATTAACCAGTGGAACAAACTGCCTCCAGAAGTTGTGATTGCGCCAACACTAGATGTTTTTAAGAAAAAACTTGGAGAACCATTTGTCTGAAATGGTATAGAGTTTCCTGCCTGAGCAGGGGGTTGGTCTAGAAGAACTCCAAGGTTCCTTCCAACTCTATTATTATTGTTGTTGTTATTGTTATTATTATTATAGATTGCCCTTCCCAATACTATTAAGATAAAGAACACCTTCTCTCAAAAGTGAGGTCCACTTACGGATTTCTCTAATTCCTTTCTTAGTCTGTTGTGTATTTATGAACCATCCTCAAATCTAGATATCTGAAACAGATTTACCACAGTTCACTTTTATATAGATTTATGTTCCAGCTTTCATATTTCTGCAAGTATTCGAGATAACCAATATATTTTTAAAAAATATATTAAAAATTGAAGACACAAATTAGAAACAGAGACATTCTAGGTTTAAAATAGATTGATTTAAATGGAAGAATCATTCTTCTGAAGGCTTTATCTGGAATTCTAAAATATTTAAACTTTTTTATCTGGAATGCGATGGCTCAGCAATTAAAAATGCTGAGCTTGTCAGCTGGAAAGCTGACAGCCCGAATTCAAGATCCAAGCGCTGCATCACAGGGTGAGCTCTCATTTTTTGCCTTAACTCCTGCCCACCTAGTAGTTTGAAAGCATGCAAATGCAAGTAGATAAATAGCTACCACTTCGGTGGGAAGGTAACAACGTTCCATGCACTTCAGCGTATAGTCATGCTGGTCACATGACCATGGAAGCATCTTCAGACAACACTGACTCCCTTGGCTAAGAAACAGGGATGAGCACTGCCCCTAGAGTCAGTCATGACTGGACAGAGATAACTGCTAACCCCCATCCTATTTTTCCCATATTTATCTTTGTTAAATTTCATTGTGTTTTCCTCAGTCCTGTTCTGTAATTTATACAGGGTTTTGTTTTCAACTTCATTTTTTTTTCTTTAGGTTATTAGGTAGCCCATACAAGTTTGTATTAGCTGTTAATTTGATAACTGTTGCCTCCACCTCTTTCTCCAGGCTATTAATAAAAGTGCTGAAGAATAAAGAGCTCAGTGTTGAAACTTTGGACACTGTCTGGCAAGACTTTTTTTTACAAATACGAGGTGACTTCTGCCAATTGCCACATTGTTGTCAACTCTAAACCTGACCCTAGGATACAAGTCAATTGGAGATTTAAATTCATTCAACATAAATAAGGATTCCTTGTCCATGTTTCTATCAAATTCAAACTTCATCTTGCACCTTCATATTTTCATACTGAAGACAAGTTAATCAGAAATTAAACAGCTTTGCCTATTTTTTTTGTAACTTTAGCATTTTGTTGTTTTTATAGAGTTGGTGGTACAGTAAACATTAATCCCTGAGAATCTGCACCATTTTGGATTATTTGCTTGGCACCAATTTTCAAAGATCAGATAATGTTCCCAAGATGCACTGAACTGCTATGCTAGTGTCTAATTAACTTAAGATATATTCCCTGTACTAGCTTGAGTGTCTATAATTATCTAATAGTCTTACAACATGCTGAAATTTACTACATGTGATCATGTGATCCTCATCTCATCCTTGGACTAAACTAGGGGTAGGTAACCTCGGCTCTTTTATGACTCATGGACTTCAACGCCCAGAATTCCTGAGTCAGCATAGTCTACACCTGGACTAAACTATATACTCTAGTTCTTTGTGTGACTGGTTCTACAAAGATACAATGAAAGTCTGAAATTATCAAAGGAAATGGTGTATGATTGAATAAAGTGCTACTTTGGAACTGGGCCATACAACTACAGAAAAGCCTACATGACCTTTAGATCTCTGCAGGCTACATTTGGCTGACTACTCACACATATGGTCTTAGGTTGACACTCTGGCATTTTTTGATAGCACAAATGAGGGTGGTGAAATCCTATCTACCTCCTAAGTCTAACCAAACATCTGCACAAACTCTATGTGCCAGAGTTCCAGCTGGGAACAGATCTATAAATGTGAGAAACGGTGAATGTGATGTCAAGCATATGGGGAACGGGCTGTTATTGTATGCTCTCAAATCATGTAATATATATTCATCTTATCTATAAATAGAACAAAAATAACATTCAGTCAAGTACAAGTTAAGTAAAACTTCCTGGTAAGGGGAGATCTGCCTTGTCTTTTGGCTTTTATTATTATTATTTTTAGTTGGGGTTTGAGAGTTTTGCCTTTTTTTAAAGGTCTGTTCAATCTATTTTACACTATATGTTCTATGTTTCCCACTTAATAAAAGCAGAAAGCTGCCCTGCTAATTTTTCACAATCATAGCCAGATGTGATTATAAGGATCACCAAAATAAGTTTGGACTCTCAGGTTACAAACTCTTAATTTAAAGGATCTGTAGAATTATACCCAAGTTAATACTGCCAAGACTAAATTGGCCTCTGCTCCTTAGCGTTTTTGTAGCACTTTGAAGTTTACAATAATAACAGAAGTGATCATGCTTTCCTTCCATGAGAAGACTAACTTTTCAGATTAGGTTGCTCTTAGAGACAGAAGCAGATTACAATTCAGACCAACTCAAACAAATGATATATGCTAGTCTGACTCATTTACTCTAGAGATATAGCAATAGCACTTTGGGCAGTTTACAATGCCAGCATATTGCCATCAACAATCAGGGTTCTCATTTTATCGACCTCAGAAGAATGGAAGGATGAGTCAATCTTGAGCCCCATCAAGACTGAACTCCAGGCTGTGGGCAGAGTTTGCTGTAGTGATTAGCAGTGGTTAGAATACTGCATTCTAACCAATGCGCCAGCAGATATGACTGAATATTCTTATGATCAGTTCTTACAGTCATGAATTGCAAAGCCTTTCAACGAAGAGGCAAATAATACAAAACCAGCACCATATTATAGTATGTGGTTAGCAGAATCAGTCTTAGAACTCAAATTCTTTATCAGAAGTCTACGCTTCTTCAAGAATACTGATAGCAACAAAGTTAAAGAAATGGATGTTGTTGTATTTCCATGATTGCTGGGCCAGCAGATGCAACTACAGAGCCGTCTGATGCCAAATATCCCAAAGGTGCTTTTTCAAAAGGCAACTAGACTTCCTTTGTTTTTCCTTGAAGACATTTCGTTTCTCATCTAAGAAGCTTCTTCAGTTCTGAACTGAAGCGAAACATCTTTAAGGAAAAACAAAGGAAGTCCAGTTGCCTTTCGAAAAAGTACCTTTGGGACAACCATGACCTGGATGACTGAGAATCTCCATAGTCATCTGATGTCAAATGTTTGCCCATCACATTTTAGGATACATCTGTCAAAGGAGCTTCCATCAATTGCTATTAAGGCCAAATTTTGATCCTACTTAATCCCTAAGACAGTTTCAAAATTGACGCTATCAACAGAAAGTTGGGAAGCTTCATTCAAGTATTTTTAAGCTTAAATGTTCTCAAAATGCTACATTAAAAAAAACCACCACAGGCAGTATATCACACTTGACTGAATTTTAAAAATAGCAAATAGATAATTCCACTAAGTAATTTACCTCTGGGATATTTATGTAGTGGAGAAATATATATCTTGGCATGTTCAATTGGAGTCGTTTTTTTCAAAGTGGAAAAAACCATACAACCACAATTTCCAGACCTGACTTTCATGCTGCAAAAAGCATGTACGATAAAAAGTGACTTGCCATCAATGATAGCCATTGTGTGGTGTACCATTTCCTACTGGAAATGTAAAGTAGAAGGGCTTTTCACAAAAGATACAATATATGCCAGTGACAGATTCTCTTACCGGTGAACCACGATCACCTGGTTTCCCAGCTGGACCAGCAACTCCAGGCACGCCTGGGGCACCCTATAAAGAAGAAGATTGAAAAGATATACAGAAAAGGGAAATAATAGTCTTGAGCAATTTTATTTGTGTTTGTTCAATGTATATATCTGAAATGAAACATATACTCAGAAATGAGGGGCTGCCACGAAGAAGAGGGGATCATGTTATTCCCCAAAGCACCAGTTGGAAACTGATCAAAGAGAGAAGCAATTAAGAAGAAGAAGAATTAAGAAGAAACTTCCTGACAGTGAGGACAATTAACCAGTAGAACAGCTTGCCTTCAGAAATCGTGGGCGCTCCATCACTGGAGGTTTTTAAGAAGAGGCTAGACAGTCACTTGTCTGAGGTGGTATAGGTTCTCCTGCTTGAACGGGGGCCTGGACTAGAAGACCTCCAAGGTCTCTTCCAGCACTATTCTATTCTGTTCTGTTCTGTTCTAAATTTAGCTAATACTAGGAATAAACTGAGTGGACCAAATTTCTGTCTAATCACTGTCCTAAAATAATGGGGGGGGGAAATGCCTGATTCATGTAGGGTGATCTGAATAAGGCAATTAAATTTACATCATTTTTACTTGATTTTCTTATATTTACAACTTATATTGTTTGCAAGGTGATATGTTTTGTTGTTTTGTTTAAATATCAGCTTAAAATCATCATTAAAAATTTGATGTTTATAGGAAGGTGACCCACTGCAAAAGGAAAATAAGATTGTACACTTTATTAAATAATGTTGTAGCAAGATGTAGATCAGTGGTTCTCAACCTATGGGTTGCGACCCCATTTGGGGTCGAACGACCATTTTACGGGGGTCGGCAAACAATGCGATCCGCCATTTTCCCCCCTCAGGGGGCGCTGCTGTGCATGCGCGCCACGCATGGGGGCGGCCACGCGCATGCGCGCCGCGTCCGTGTGACGGGGGTCGCCGTCACACAAACGTTGAGAAACGCTGATGTAGATGTATTATGCAGTCAACGGAATTGGATCAACTAAATTGGACCTACAACTAATGCTGCAATGTAGAGAGCACGTCTTCAGAGCCCCAATACGTTCAGCAGTTGATATCACTGCACGGAGTCCCCTTTTCTTAGGCTTTTCTTTAATATACCTTCATACTGCAAAACTTCAGCGTTTCTCACGTTTGGCGACTTTAAGATATGTAGACTTCAGTTCCCAGAATTCCTCAGCCAGCATGCTGGCTGAAGAATTCTGGAAGTCAAAGTCCACACATCTTTAAACTGCTAAGCTTGAGAAACACTGCTGTAACCGATGACTGGAGTCATTTTTGCTATATTAAGCATCCACACTCACTGAATTAATATGCCAGCTGTAATTTAATTTGCTTTGGTACCATGTGTTCCTGAAAAGGATGACAGCACTGTCTGACACAAAACAGACACAACTCCCACCAGCACCATCCATCATAGTTCCACTATTACATTATCATTCCCACAACAAAGCCAACACTAACCGCTGGTCCTGGAGGACCTCTTGGTCCTGATGGGCCATCTTTTCCAGTAAAGCCCTGTTTGGAGAACAATGAATATTATGGATTAGCGTTTTTTTTGTTTTGCTTGTAGGGACAATATAATTATGCAGAAACATTTTTGGGCCAACCGCCATGTAAAAACTATCAAAAGCATTCAAAACCACAATGTCTAAATATCCCGTGTTATTAAGGATCAATAACTATAGCTGCAATAACTATAGTATATACTACATACCACAGGTCTTAGAAAACTTAGTATTTAGCGAGAAAATTTTACTACTGTAATAAATTATCTATTTCTCTACTGTAGATGAAAAACAAAGATCTCTTGTAAGGCTTATTGTTTATTTTCCTCTTATCCAAAGCCTTTGCTTCTGTATGTTCAGTTGCATAATGCAATTCCTCACTGATTTGTATCACAACTATACAAAGCCTATCATTTCTTCATTATTCCATCAGTTATCAACTTTCTTTAAACTTGTGCCCTCTGTATGTGTTTGACTATAATTGTCCACTGACCCCAATCAAACCAAAGAAATCTGATCTAAAGAAAAAGTAACTTAAAAGACTGTATATTTAAAGCCCATCTGCTCCACCCTTTCAAGGTTCAGGGAAGCTGACAAAATGGAGACACATAGAATTATAAATGTTCTAATGTGGTTCAAAGCCTTTGTAAAGTTTCCACTCTCCGGGATAAATCAGAACTACTCACTCTGTCACCTGGTGGCCCCATTGTGCCAGGAGGGCCACTTAGGCCTGGCGATCCCTAGGTGAGAAAGAAAACATTAGTTAGACAGGATTTTGGAACAACGCAATACAATTTTAACATATAACGGCATTTTATTTTAATATTATAGTTCCTTGTATTGTAGGCTCTTTGGATACAGCGATACTGATTTTGACCCCAGGAAAAGAATTGGACCAAAACAAGTAGACCTTTGATTTATAATTTCAGCATGCTGTACAGAATTATATTTGTCTACATTCTAGTTGTTTATAGTTGTATGTCTTGTTAATTCTTTTAAAGGTAAACATATTTTATTTATCAGCATGTTATAAATCTTATTCACTCTTAAGTAATAGCTACAGGTAGTCCTCGGCTTACGATCACAATTGGGATCAGAATTCCTGCTGCTAAGCAAAGTGGCGGTTAAGTGAAGAGTTGTGCCAATTTGGTGATCTTTATTATTGCCATAGTCATTAAGCAAATCACTCCAAATAAGTGAATTGCGCAGTTGTTAAGCACATCCGGCTTTCCTCCCCGCTGACTTCATTTGTCAGAAGCCAGTTGGAAAGGTCGCAAAGGGTGATAACGTGACCCTGGGACATTGCGACCGTCATAAATACGTGCCAGTTGCCAAGCACTATGGCCGTGGGGATGCTATGACAATTGTTAAGTGCAAGGGCTGGTTGTAAATCACTTCTTTAGTGCCACTCTGACTTCAAATGGTCGCTAAATGAATGGTTTCAAGTCAAGGACTACCTGTAATCATTAAGCAATCATTATCCTTAGTAAGAAGACCTACTAATGGTTACGGATGAGAGAAATTCAGCCATTTTGAGAATGGAACATGGTTTGGAAATCTAGACTCTCTTATTCTCCTTCAGAACTATGCTGTTCCAGAGGCAGATTAGCATTTTCTAGAAGTTGATATTTCCCAATCCAGAAGTAGGTCGAGGTGCCCCGGAATCAGGCCTACAAGCAGAGTATCTTTTGGAAGAAAGGAAAATAAATAGCAAAGGAACTTACTGATCGCCCTGGTAGTCCAGGTTCTCCAGGGTTACCCTTTGGCCCTTGACGTCCCTAGAATTAAAAAAGATCATTCTTTTGTTTATTTCCTCAAAAATAAACTCATGGGTCTAATTAACAGACGTGCTTATCTTTAAGCCTCAAAACCCATTAGAGTAGTGGTTCTCAACCTTTCTAATGCCGCGACCCCATAATACAGTTCCCCATGTTGTGGTGACCCCCAACCACTTATACATCACCGTGTGCCAGGGGCGTGGCCAAAGAAAAAGGGGAAAAAATGGCGGACAGCCTTGTTTGGCGACCCCCGTGAAATGGTCGTTCGACCCCAAATGGGGTCCCGACCCACAGGTTGAGAACCACTGCATTAGAGCAAACAAGGGTTCATTTGGGCATGTAGTGTGTGGCTTTCCTTTCATTCACATCACGGGAAGTAAGCATGATAGTTTATTAGACAACATTTCCACCCAATAAAACATTAAAAGAAATACTTAAGCTTCTCGTATTTCCCTGAAAAGGCGAGCAAAGAAGCAGATCAAATGCAAACTCAAATAAGCACAGCATGTCTCTATGTTTATGCAGAATCTACAAATCCCGCAGTATTTAGAAATCTGTTTGGTGCACTTATACACCTTGACTTACTTAGCATACATCTGAATATACTGGGAAATCAGAAAGCATTTATTATACCGCACTTCGTCTCTTATCCTGGCCAAACAGCATTCTTACTTACAGGTTCTCCTGTAATGGAAAGCCCATTCATTCCTTGTGGTCCTGATGGCCCTTGAGGGCCTGGAGGGCCTGGATCTCCACGAGCACCTGGTGGCCCCTGAAAATAACAAAAGAAAAAAATATATATTTTTCAAAAAAGTTACACAAGATTGGAGTCAAGTCTTTGGTGATAACAAGTGACTAAACAATTGCTTTCTCGAACATGATTGCCTCCGGAAGTGTTGGGTTGCACTCCCCATCTTCCCCAGCTAGGGTGATAGGCCTTTCTTTCTGGAAATGGTACATGCAGAGCTATGTACTTTCCAAGATCTTTAAATAGATGAGCATAAATGCTAAACTGAAATTTATGGGAACGGCATTGCTTCGAAGCGTTAGGAACTCAATTCAATTACTGTAGATAAATGAAATTTCTTGTATTTTTTTAAAGGAATTTTCTTACACTTGGACTGCTTGGGGTTGCTTACATAAACTAGTACCAACAAAAGGAAAAACAAAAACCGGCAAAATTGCCATTCTTATTTTTTAAACTAACTCATAGGCATATGGATTCTCCAATGCAAGTGCCAGTAATACTAAAGTTATTGCAGGTAAAAAAAAAGTTGCCATTTAGTGTACTTTCAATAGGATGCTGTAACTAATTAGACTTTTCAGATATTATGTCTCCCATAGAAATGTTATATAGCTAAGGATAGCGGGAGGCAATCGGCTCCTGCTGGAAAAGCATGTGATAGCCATGGCTAATTGGGCTTTTGCACACTTTCAGATTGTGTGCCAACTGCACCTGTCCTGGATCAGAAGGGTCTGCTAATTGTGATCCATGCCCTCGTGATATCCTATTTAGACTAATGCAACATACTCTACAGGGAGCTGTTCTTGAGTAGCATTCAGAAGCTTCAGCTGGAACAGAACGCAGCTGCATGGGCTGTAAATGGTGCTGGCTATCCTGCATATATGTAACCCCACTGCTTTGGGAGCTGCCAGTATTTTTCTGGGTGCAATTCAAGGTGCTGGTTGTCACCTTTAAAGCCCTTCATGGCTTGGAACCATGGTTATCTGAGATGCTGTCTTCTTCTAGTTGTTTCTACCTGTCCAATCCAGGTCCTGTTCAGCCAATGAATGTTGGCTGGTGAGAACCAGGCAAAGTGCCTTCTCTGCTGTAGCTCCTGCTCTCTGAACATCCCCCCCCCAAGAGGAAGAAGATCTTGAAGACCTTATGTGTCTCGGCCTGGGGTCCCGAGTCTGGGAAGAGCCCCATTTCCAGGTAAAGTTGACACCAATGGATTATGATACATCTTGGTTGCTATTTGTATTTCTTTTTTGCGTTATGTTTTGACTGTTTTAATAGTTTTTATGATTGTGCGTTGCCAAGGGTCACTGATTTGAGATGGGCAGTTATACAAATTGAATACATAAATACTCACAGGAGGTCCACTTAAGCCTCTTTCGCCTCTTGAACCACTGATACCTCGAGCTCCCTAAAATCCAGAAAAACAAACACATGGGAAACAAAGAGATAAAGACTATCATGTTTAAATTTTCTATACAGAACATCCTATCTTCTCACAATTTTCTGAAGGACCTAGTATTATTCATTCTGAAAAAAATCTTTCAAGCATAGCTACAAAGAGATTGCCCACCATTAAAAGATAAAAACAATGTTTAGGGGCTACAAGCTGCACATTTTATTTCCTCAGGAAGGCAGAAGTGATAAAACAAGGAGGAAGGCTAAAATGATTAACTGCTAAATATTTGTCATTAATCACTAATACATTACAATGTGTGAGATCATTTTCTTTGAACAGCATGCCTCTTTCCTCTCATTTAAACAGCCCTTAGGAGTGGCATTCATCTGATCTGTGTCAATCATGTTGAATCAGTTTCATCCCTTTCACAGAGTTAGAAGTTAGGAAATTTTTCTTTTATAAAGTCTTCTTGCTCATTTCACTGGCTTCCATCATTACCTGAACAATTCATTTCCAAACTTGAGCTAATGATATGTGGATGGTAGCAGGTTTTCCACACTTGTGTTACAGAAGTGCATTGTCATTACACAGCCCAAGGCATATAACTCAGTTGTGGGATTCAAATATGTGAACAACCGGTTCTCCGTGTGGATGCCGCTTCAGGAAGTCCATTCTGGGCCTGGGCAACAAAAAATTAGCTACCGGTTCTACCAAACTGGTGCGAACTGGCTGAACCCCACCACTGATATAATTATACCGGTAAGAGAGGTCCCTCAGCCCTGTATCTACTCTAGGAAATGAGCACACAAATAATGGCTGCTGACTGGTGTTACTGTGCCAAAACTAGGGATGAAGTTAACTACTTGCCACTACAAAAGATGATACAGGCAGTCCTCAGTCCTGCCCATTATGATCCTAAGTCATAACTTTACAATCTTTCTTGGTGATTGTAAAATGAACATGGCAGTTGTAATATGAATGTGGTGAATGCCGTGGCTGGTTAATTGGACCATTGTTCACTATGGCACAGATTTGCCAAAACCCAGATAAGGGATCATGGCCATATTGCTGAGTGCCTTAAGTGCAGTCATGTGATTGCAGAGGGGGCCCAACCACCAGAACTTTGGATCAAAGTTTTAAGTTCCCTGTTGGGTCTTTCCAACCTTCGGGTCCAGTCATAAGTCAAGGACTATCTGTGTTCTAGTCTTCAACTGATATTGATCCAGACTCAATTAAGCTTTTAGAAGTTAAACATAGGCTTATCCATATGGCTTATAATTACAATATATTTATTTTTACTTACAGCAGGTCCTGGAGGTCCTGGAGCCCCCACACTGGTTTGTACACATGTACAAGCATTTGGCAATGATGGGCATTTTGCTTCATCCCTCTGAAATTTAAAGCAAAACATGACATGACAGTTTTAAAATGATCTTTTCCTAACAGAGAAAACAATTGTAATCTTACAGGTGGATAATTTACTGTATACTATAACTATATCTGATATTGAAGTCTACATAAAAGCAAAAACTGATTGCTCTGCTGGGGAAACACACCCTTTCCACATGTTTACAGCACTCTGTACTTTCTTCACGCATTCTAAGATTTATTTTACAAAATATATTCTAAGGCTGTATTCTACTCACTCCCATATTAATTAACACTTTTAATTTAAAGTAAAATTCAATTTGCATTAAATATAAAAATAACTAAATATGATTTTAATGCAGCTTCTATTTTACACTCAACATCAACCCAGTTAAATACTGACTTCTACAATATTATACAATGCTGATATATAATTATAAGTTGAAGTGTTAGCTTTCCTATGATCTGGTGCTAATATAAATTAAAAAGAACATAATTCACACCGTATCTTGAGAACTGTCACTGCTTCCATTCTGTTTTTTAGAACAGTGGGATATAAAGCAAAATTGTATCATTAAATAACATAGATTGGTTTCAGCAGAAAATGGTGTTGGCGGAAGTCTAAAAAAGACTCCAGAAATTTACTATTTCTGGGGAAATCTACTGAAGCACAGTAGTTAAAATCAATGAATTATTCCAGTAAAATTATATACGGTACTTATTTCTCTCTTCTCTATGAAGTTCTTTAAGTTATCTTCTGCCTGCTGGTTTTTCTCAACTCATCTCCCTTCATTTATTCTCCCTCTCCTTCAAAATGAACATGGTCTAGTTGCATATTGATACAAATGCTGCTGGCTGATTTTTCCCTAATATGCTACATTATCAACAGCTACAATCGGTTGTTTCACTGTTCCTTATCCTAGACAGATTCCACCTCAAAGTCCACAAGAGATTTATAAAAAAAAATAGTAAGTTAAATGAAAGATAAGGGAATACTAGGTATATTTAATATTTTTTTAAGAATACAGTCTTAGATTCTGAAAACGTAAATGGAAAGTGACAAGCTAAACTGTTTTTTCTACAATAGGCTATCTGGACTGCAATATTTAGAATATGCTCTGGTGAAGTTACATTCCTGCATTCAGTATGATTCAGAATCCAATAGATAATTTATTATTCCCAAAAGAGATTGTTTAAGGCTGTTATCCCACACTGTTCTCTTGGAGGAACAAGCTCAGGCTCTTGATATGAGGTATTAAATCTCTCTAAACATTTCCTATATATTTACCTTAGAAGGAATGTCACAGCATCTATCTCTGCTGGTCCAAACTGCATTGCACACAATGTCAAAGCTCTGTATATCAAACTATAAAGCAGAAATGGAAGTGTATTTAAAGTTATATCTGAATTAATCTTCAAGTCCAAAATCCTGCAGTTTAAACAAAACAATGGTACTGTCTTTCTTTCAGCTATGCCAGCCAAGTATCATTCCTATTACCACACCAAGGACATTAATACAGGAAACTAAGAAAATGGTCACAAAGCGGTTTACCTCAGGTCCCTGTGGTAGTTCACACGATTCCTATAAAACTGGATTAATTGTAATCAAATGCATGGATAGCTTTGAGGAAAGAGAAAGGAGATGCTGCTTAGGAATCTACTGTACATGAGAGGCTGGAGTCTGAAATCATTTTAACAGTTAAAAAAATAAATTTGGGAAGGGCCTGTCCTAATGGCTGTAGCAGTTAAAACTAACAGACAGGAAGCTGTACTTTCAGATCTGCAAGATTCCGTATATATAGCCTTACAATAAAGTAGATTTAGCTCACCTAGTCGTATTTCCTATCTGGTTTACCTGGGAAGACCGACATTATTGCATAACCGACCTTCATCTTTAAGAGCTCTGCCACTTATACAAAATAACAAGCAGAACGACCCCTGTTTCTAGAGCAGTGTTTCTCAACCTTGACAATTTTAAGGCATGTGGACTTCAACTCCCAGAATTCCACATGCCTTAAAATTGTCAAGGTTGAGAAACACTGTTCTAGAGACAAAAATGTTTCCTGCCCTTTCACCTTTCCAGACATACCTAGAGGCACACAATCTGTCTATCTGACTCCAAAAGCATTTCTCCTGAAAGGCTGCTAATGGGATGACTGGAAAGAAAAACTTGAATTCTGAAGCCATTACCAAAAGGGGAATTTCAAAAGCTTTCCTTTCAACATGGTATTAAAATCAATTATTTAGCACAGTACCCTAAACTCCAGCAAGTAATTAAAATTTCATTTAATGACTTATATTTTGGAGTAGATTGTGTGACACATGAAATGAGAGGTACAGGGGTGGGGACACCAACAAGCACAGGAGGAACATGCATTTCATCCCATTTTGAGACAGTAGGGAAAAATCATTTCCAAAGTAGTTAAGAACCACAAAACACTTTTTACTGTTTGTTATGTATTATTACTGATTTTCTGTTGATCTTATGGGAGGGATAGCTGTGTACAGAACAAGAGATACATAGCAAAATCAGTATTGTGGTGGTGCTATATATTAGACTTTGCCAACCTTGTGCCTTCCAAATATATTAAGACTACAGTATTCAGAATCCCCAAGAAGCATGGCCACTGACTGATATGTTTATCATTAGCAATGAAAGTTACTTAAAATAATAAACATATTGTTCCCAGCCAAAGACTCTGTGACATTTATGACTGAGTCATGCAACTGACTCAGAGGTTGATGCTACTAAAAGAAAAGTTCTGTTTCTATTCTAAGCCAAATATTGTGGGAATACTTTGAAGAATATGAGTGAATTTTGATGGAAGCCAACAGTCTGCATACAATCTATATACACTCTATCTGAACTCAGACAACTGAGAAGTTTTCTATCAAATTTTTAGAGCTACAGCCTTTGGATAATATGCAACTCTGAAACTCAAAACAGTTATTCATGCATTTATTTAAAATGCTCGTGTCCTGCTTTAATTGGCTTTAAGCAGCAGACCGGATAAAGAAAAACAAAATATATCAGCTTTATAACAATATTTATATAATAATAATAACAGTCATAATCATCAGTATCATAATAACCTCCAGCTCAGCTATATGTTTACTCACTCTTCACTCCTCTTAGTTAAAAACAAGAATATTGGGGACTAAGGAGTGAGTAGAAGATATCTTGAATATCAGGAGCCAGATCTTATTTTGGATGCAAGACATTCCGTAAAAGGAGAGCTCTGGCAGAGAATTCTCACTTCTATAATTGTTCCCACCAGGATTGGGGATCATGACTGATGGTTTGGAAAGTCACTGAAAAATCCTACAAAGGGAGAGTCACACTCCCTTATCTAAGTGACCAGTGTGGTTTCTCTCCCATATATTAACCTGAACTAAGATAATCCATATTTTCTAGAATCTCTTAGCTGGCAGCTCCTCATTTTTTAACAACTTCCTCTAAAAACAGAAGTTTGGAGGCTGGTGACAGCCAGAATAGTTGGGTTAGTTAGCCAGCCCTTCAAGCAGGGGCTGTACCAGAATCCATTTCAAGGACATCAACACTGGCAAAGTTGCAATGGCTGCTGGATAAAGCTTTTATATGAAATGATGGGAGGGCAGGGGACAAATCTTTTTAATCAACTATCATATCAGGGTTTGATCAGGAAGTGCTTTAAGTATGGACCTTGGCAAGTTGTGTGTGAGGAGGAGATTCTGAACAAGAGAGTGAAAAGAAACTTCGTCTCCTCTCCTAACAGGCTTGTTGCCTGTGACTTGGATGAGACAACGGTTGTGATAAAGACATGTTGTGATGTCTTTAATAAAGATTTTAAAATTTAATTTAGAAAAGTTTACTACTTACTGGTGCTGTTTTCTTATCACCTTTCTGTAATTTACCAAGGATTTCATAGCCATCAGTTGTGATATTTCCAGCTTCCTTAATAGGTTTTTCCATAATTTCAACACAGTCAACATAAATCTTAGCACTTGTGGATGTTATAACAAGATGAACCTAGAGGAAAATTATTCAGAAGAAGCATAACAAAAACCTGGTTAATTCTTCATGGTTTTAGAAGTAAAGCTTTTAGTTCAAACCATAGTTCAATGTATATAGAAATTGGCCAAAATCTTGAAGGCAAAGAGGCACAAATACACAGGTTTTCTATAGTGTATTTATGTGTAAAAGTGTCCTTTTCAATGAAAGTGGCAGCTCCACTATATGTACTTCATTGTATTCCGACAATAAAGAAGCAGTGACTTGACAACTTTTGTTTGCACTCAGCTTTGGAATAGGTCTGGATAAAGGGTGCGATAATCTATACAAACATATGCTATGAACCAATGTCACCAAGAACCATATAAATATAACACCAACTAGTGATAAAGACATAAAGACTATAGGAAGCTTTTTGTTGTTGCAGCCGTTGCTTGTTCCAAAAGTTTATTTTTCCATAACCAGTAAAGTTTGCAAAAATAATCCTTCCAAAACTCTCTCCTATTCATAGAAACTAAGCAGCAGAAATAAAATGGAGTGGAAATGACATTTTCCATTTTTTTTTGTAACACTAGACTAAAAATGTAATATGATATTTTTACTCATTACACATTTTGGAGAAACTTTCCTATTATTAAATACCATTATTCTGTCAGACATCCCTTTTCAAATGTACAGCTAGAATATTGACTGATTTCAATTATATAGAATATATATTAGTATGAATGAAAATATCAAAATTATTCCCACTATATTTTTGCAAGCTTTGTAACCACAACAGTCTTCATACAGTATATCTGATACATTTTGGAACTGAAGAACATCTGGTGGAGAGGCCTTATTAGGGTGAAAAATAGTCTTTCCTTGGAATCTATATAGAACAAATGCTATGAGACCCATCAAATGGTGAATAATACTTTTGAATTATAACTCTGTAAGAAATGGAAAACCACTTCACACTGATGTTCAGTTTCCAAACAGAAATTTAAGAAATGTCTCTTTCCAATTGATTAAAAACTCATCAAGTGTCATTTTACCATTTTTACATCCAAATCTGTAATTCATACATCTTTATTACTTTATTTACAATCATACAGCTTTAAACTCAAGGTACACCTTACTTGTTATAATAATAGAATTGGATCAGCAGGAAAGCACATAACTAAATTTTAAAAAATGTTTTTTCAGTGATTTTGGATAAAACAATTCAATATGTATTATTTATTCAGAAATAACTTTGATTAATAAGTATGACTAAAATCACAACCTGTTATATCATGCATTAAAATACTATAAGAATTTTAATCTGCCCATTAACTATAGTTTGTGATTATGTCTTCTGTGTCTATGTGTCTTGTGTGTTTGTATTTGTTATTATTGCTGTATAGACTATAATATCTCTTAAAACTCTCAATTTATTATGGTGTAATAAAACATTAACAGCATCTTCACCTATAGGCTAATGGTTAACTGCTGAACAACTTCAAATTGAACTGAACAGAGCAGATGAAATGAAGGAGATGAGTTTTTTAGCTTAAGATTTGCTAAATACACACACACACACACAATAGCATATAACTGGGCCTTTTTAAAATTGGGTTGTGGATTAGTTTGTTATCTCGTAAAAATACTGCCATCAAATAATAAATAGAAGAAAATAAATGAAAATTATGACAGAGACAGGAGAAAGTTTTCTAAAGTTAATGCTGACTCCTATGCATGAACTACAAACTCCTCTCTAACAACAAACAATAACAACGAAACCAGGATGGGTCCATTGCTGCAGATCTGGAACTCAATTCAGTTCATTTATTCTCAACTTCTCTCGTAGTAGACAAGGTCAATTATCTAAGATAAAAAAGAATACACCTAACATACTAGACAGCTGAGAACAGCCGTGGGACAGAGCGGATTTGGCAGGAATGAAAATAGCATCTAGATCAGTGGTTCTCAACCTGTGGGTCGGGACCCCATTTGGGGTCGAACGACCATTTCACGGGGGTCGCCAAACAAGGCTGTCCGCCATTTTCCCCCCTTTTCTTTGGCCACGCCCCTGGCACCCGGGGATGTATAAGTGGTTGGGGGTCACCACAACATGGGGAACTGTATTATGGGGTCGCAGCATTAGAAAGGTTGAGAACCACTGATCTAGATTAAAAAATAGTCTTCTGTCAGTTTTTTCCCTTTTCCTTTTGAAAGAATAAGGCAAAAAGAAAAGTATCAAGACACTTTAAAACTTTCCTTTTAGTAAATTGTTATCTTGTTTCCTAGGTTAATCAGATCCTTCTTTTATTAGTCTTCCATTAAAAAAATGGCAAGGACGACTTCACAGAAGACTCTTGCCATGTATATTTGGCCCACTGACGGCAAGTCAACAAACATAAAACATCTGTTTCTATAAGAGTTCCTTGACAAGATGTTAACTAGGCCAACATCTTCCCCAAGACTTTCATTGTAGCCAAAACCCAAAATAGTATGCCAAAGCAAATATTTCACAAAAAGCCAAGTTAGCTATTTTTCAGTGAATGGAAATGCAATGCACTGAATTAACACCACATTATACTCTGGCAAAATATTCCGGTAGAATTAATCCATCTGTAGAATTGTGATAAACAAATCCTTAGAGAAACAACTATGATTGTCTGCTTCTTCCACTCTGCTTCAAACAGAGCTGTCCTCCTGGTACACAATGCTCTTTCTCCCATAACCATTTTCACATTTACTTCCTTTCAGAGATAGCTCTGTACTTGCCTTCAAAAAATATAAATAATACAAATGCATAAGCTCCATATGTACATGGGACCGGAATGGTCACACTCACATATGGATAAAACCTGCTTATCGCTGACTATTTTCACCACAATAGGTATATTAGGTATATTTTAGTTTTTGCTGCACATTGTCCAATGGTTCAATTGGAGAAACACAACTGGTCAACTAACTGGTCAAACAACAAATTAAGACAATGTGCTGAGTTGTGCTAATAATAATAATCAGAATATATGAAATCTGAGTTAAGGATGCTGATCTATGTAAGGAAAGCCAATGATAAAAACGTTGGCATTTGTTTCAGAGTAAACTTGAGCATTTTTCAGTATGCATTCAAACCAATTATTTGAAAATGTTATTTGCTGTAATATTTATAAATTATTTTTATCTCTCTATATCAGTGGTTCTCAACCTTTTTAATGCCGCGACCCCCAACCGGTCGTAAGTCAAGGACTGCTCAACCGATCGTAAGTCGAGGACTACTCAACTGGTGCAGCACCATTTGCAGAATGGGACTTTTGGCGGGCTCAGCAGGGCAGAGACAGCCTGGACAATTCCTATTGGCTTTTGAAAGCCAATAGAATTAGACTCTATTCAAGGGAGTCTATTCTATTGGCTTTCAAAAGCCAATAGAATAAAAGGGAGTATCACAGCTAAGGAAAAGGGGGGAAAAAATGGTGGACTGCGTTGTTTGGCGACCCCCATGAAATGGTCGTTCGACCCCAAATGGGGTCCCGACCCACAGGTTGAGAATCACTGCTCTATATCTATCCACCACCAGAGAGGTTTTATTTGCTTTCATAATGACTTTCCTATTCATAATAATCTACAGAAGATGATTTTACCTTGTGGAAACTTCCGTAAAAGAGTTTCTTTATTTCATCACCTTCAAATGCTACAGTCTGAATTTCTCCTCTTGTGTCCTTGTTAAAGAATGAGAGCACTTTGCTGGAAGCTAGGGAGAAATACATAATATTAAAGATACGGATATAGGACTATCTAATGTATCAGATTAATTCCAAAAGGTAATTCAGATCACAAGATACAGAAATGTAGCCCCTGTCTCTAATTTTTAAAACAGCTGCATCTTTTCATGGTAGCTCAAAGCAGCTCCTTAATTTATCCACACCCATTTCCAAACCTAATTCATAAGACTATTCAGGGAGATTCCCTTTCACCAATACCTTAATTAGGATTGCTATATAAATAATAGAAATACACAGAACGGCTGTTACAACAGACACTATGAAGCTTGCTTGTAACATAAGATTACTGTACATTCCGGTGTATAGGGCGACCCGGCGTATAAGATGACCCCCTAGTTCGACGCCGGGTTGCAAGACGATCGACACTGAGTCGCAAGCCTAGAAAGTCGTCTTATATGCCGGAAACTACCTTATTTCCGGCGTATAAGACGACTTGGCATATAAGACGACCCCCGAGTTTGGAGGCTGTTTCGACGCTCTCAAAAGTTGTCTTATACGCCGGAATATACGGTATTAGTATTTATTTTACAATATAAAAGACTACAAGGTTAAAGTCAAGGGGTTTTTTTAAACAAAAAATTCTAAGCTGCTGAATCACTTAATACTTTGGGGTATTATATTCCCTACAAATAGAGTTCCATGTCAGAGCGTAAATCATTCAATCGATCAATTCTGGTAATCCAAAGTGTTGCTTTGAAATGAATCAATGAATTGAGATGCTTAATGCAACATGAAGTGTCTATGACTGAAACAGGAGAGAACATGAGAGGAAACGTCTAGCAACTTGCCAATTATTGAGTCAGAACGTGCATGCCATGGGGAAGAATCACAACTTATGGCAACCTGAAGGAAGACTTCTCCAATATAAATATGAAAGTGGAATTTCTTAGTATATTTATTCTTTTTAACATATAAGTAGAATAGTATCAACTAAAGCAATACTTTGTGTCTACTGTTAAGTTCACAAATGCTGACAAACTTTACTGCTACTGCCGGCAGGTTACCAATCTTTAGATGGACTCACAAAGGAGAGCCTGGGATAACACTTAGAAAAACAAAACCTTTTTCTTCCCCAATTTTGCAAAAAAAATTATTTAAGAGTTCAGGTAAAGTTACTGGAAGTTCTTTCTCTAAATTAATTTGTTGCTTCCTAATTCTCTAAAAAAAGGTACACCTTTTAAATTCAGATCAAAGGATTGGCTGAATTGTTTCATATAAAAATTGCATTAAATAACTGCAGCTTGGCAACTCGCAACCCACCTAAACATTACACACCTTGTATGTCGATGGCAAATTAGTTGCAATCTGCCTAGCAATATTCTGTTCAACTGATTTCTGATACTGAATATCTGTCAGAGTGTCTGTCAGAGTAAAATTTTACTATTTTACTATGTAGAAATATTTTGAAATATTCCAAAAGTAAAACAACTTCTGTCCATTCTATTCATACATTCAGTCCATAGTTCATGGGGAGGGGTGGGGCCTTACGGTCAAGAACTACTCCAACTTGTGGTTTGTAATTTCTGTCTGTTATCTGCCAAATTGCAAATGGTTCATTAGAGGTTTCTGAGAGAAGACGGAATAAAAATATTATCGTGTAAGCCTTTGATAATCCATCCGGATGAATATCCCTATTAAAGAAAGCAGAAATATATCCCTCACCAAAAAATACATGATTAAATCATTGAAATAAGTGGCATATAAATTTAATAAATAAATAACATTTAATCTTAGTCATGGTTAATAAGGTTGTGTGAATTTCAGTGTGTCGTTTATTAGACAGCGCTCAAGATTCTTGCTTGATCACTCATCCCTCTAAAACAGACCTGTCAAACACAAGGCCCGGAGGCCATATGCGGCTCGCAATGTGGTTTCATGTGGCCCCACGAAGCCATCCTGGAAACAGTGAGGGAACGGCCCCTGCCGCCTTGGCCCCGGCCCAGGCTGCCCGGGAGCCAATGTACAATTTTGTGGTAGTCATCTATGCTGAAACGCATTCAGTCTTAGCTCCACAAGACAGTCTGAAAACAGCAAGGGACCGGCCCCTGCCACGTTGGCCCCACCCCCTGGGTGCATACTAAGGAGGTGTCACCTTTGTGAGGAATGAAGAAATGCACCATCGCCTGGAAGTGGCCAGCAAATGGCCCTCACCTACTTCACATATCCAGCTTGATGGGCTCTAAGGGAGAGGTTTCAGCAGGCAATGGGGCGCCAAGAGGCTGAGCAGGTGGCGCAAATTCAAAAAGAAGTGCACCACCGCTCAGCCCCCAGCCTGCCTGATTTCAGCAGGCAGCAAGGTGCAAAGCTGGCGAGCATTGCACTGCCCGGCTCAGCCTCTCGGCGCCGTGAGGAGAGTGCCCTGCTGCCTGTCGAAACCGGGCAGGCTGGGGGTTGGGTGGCATCGCGCAGGTAACGTCGACTCGGGCCGAAATCGGGCAGACTGGGGCTGAACGGCATTGCGCAGGTAACGTAGACTCTCACGTTGTTCATGGCGTTCCCTCCCCCAAAGCCCACCAAGCCAGACATGTGAAGTAGACAAAGGTCGTGTGCATTTCTTCATTCCTCACGAAGGGTGACACCTCCCCAGCTGCGTTTTTTGCCTGTTTTTCTCCCTCCCTCATCTCAAATATTTTCCCACCACTCTGTTCTTAGGAAGGAAGGAAGGAAGGAAGGAAGGAAGGAAGGAAGGAAGGAAGGAAGGAAGGAAGGAAGGAAGGAAGGAAGGAAGGAAGGAGAGGGAGGGTCTGAGGGAAGTCCTGTCTTAGTCCTGCCCTGCTGCCCTTTCACCATCCCCTTGCCCCCTCCTCCTGGCCTATCCTGGAGGTCTCCCATCCTATTGGTAAGGAAGCTTTGGATACAAAGCCAGGTCTTCTCCTATGGAGAGGGAGTAGGCTTCCCTCTGACTTTGCCCTCATACCCATCATGAGCAACCTGGCTAAGGAGAGCAAGCACATCAGCAGCAGCCTTGAGGAGGAGGTAAGTGCAGCTGGGCACCCCCTTGGGGTAGTAGGGCCGGGCTGGGTGTTTGACCTCTGCTGCCCAGGGCTCCAGGAAGTCTGCGGTACCATCCAGCCCCCCTCACATGGCCTGAGAGGAACAGTGAGGCTCTTCCAGTGGACCATGCCTTGGCGCTTGCCCTGGTCCCACTCCCTTCTGCCAGAGACCCTCAGATCTGTCCTACTCCTGCCCAGGCCCCACAGGCAACCTTGACGCGAATGATGTAGAATTGGCCATGCCCAACCAATAGGTCACACCTACCCTGGCCACACCTATCCAGCCCGAGGACAACCACAATGCTGATGCAGTCCTCAGTGAAATTGAGTTTGACACCCCTGCTCTAAAAGACTCAAAAGCAGCTCATATTTATATATAAGAACTAAAATTTTTATCCTGCAAAAAGACAGAAAGTCTAATTTAAATTCTCCGTATTATTCAGTGTGTTTATAAGCCAAGTCTTCCTTCAAACTCACTGAAAACTATTATTAAAATATGCAAGAATTATATTTAAAGCTAAATTTCATCAAGCTGAAGTCTGATGAATTTTTTTTCTGCAATGGGAGAGGGTGTGGGAAGGAGAACCATGATCAAAACATCAACAATTTGTGATTATTAAATACAAGCCGGCCCCCTTCTCCTGCAGCCGAAGGGGCAGCTTCCTTCTGCAGCTGAGAATTGAGCTCCGGCCTGCATTTTGCAGTTAGAGGCCTTTCCTGAAGGTCTCGGCAGCCGAGAACCAAATCCATAGCTTGGTTCTAGGCTGCAGAGGCCTTCCAGAAAGGCCTCTGACTGCAAAATGCAGGCCCGAGCTCCATTCTCAGCTGCAGAACAAAGCTGCTCCTTCAGCCGCAGAAGAAGTGGGCCGGTGAGGCAAGGGTCGATCCATGGGAGGCCTGGCTGCAATGATAAGCTCCAACCCCCCACCCTAGCTTGATTTTTAGACGTGTGCCCCACCCCAAAACTAGGGCTTATTTTTGGGTAGGACTTATATTAGGCCTGTCCCCAAAAATCAATCTAGGGCTTATTTTCGGGGTAGGTCTTACTTTCCGGGAAACACAGTATATATACACACACTTTCTATCTTTGTATGTATCTTGTATGTATTTTTATTTCTCACCATTGTTAGCAAGGATTCAGCATTCAGTACTATCAATTCTATGTCCAATATAACCAACCATCTAGTCAATTTTCTGCAATTAGAAAAGATTTGAAGAAAAAAAAGTAATATACTTACACAGTGGGCTGGCTAATAAAAGCATTTTTGTGAAGCCTGTATGCCACGTTGCTTGGGAAAGATCCTGATTGCAAGGAAACTCCAGGTACTGAAGCAAAATATTTTTCTGTTAAATTGTAAGCTTCCAGCATCCTGAAGCCTATATGTCAGAATAAAGAGAAAACAGAAAGAACAGCGATGGGATTAAGAAACAGGAAAGTAAGATGTTATTAAACTGGAATATTCATGTGTTATTTCTTACCCGGAGAAGTATATCCATCTAAGTACATGAGAGGACAAGCTGGAAAAAAAGAAACAGATACAGCATGAATAAGCGAGCAGTGGCATTGTTACTAGAAACATACAGCTGTCTGCAAACAAATGTCCTCCACAGGTACAGAACTACAAATGCCACCAATCTTAGTTTTCTTCAATATGGTTCTTTCTTTATTTATTTATTTACTTCGTGTAATGATGTATCTTATGTGGACCAGCAATATATATTAACGTTTCACCTAGATTAGTAAAACACAATAAAATATAAATGTTAAAAAGATCTATGTTCAAATATCAATGTCTAGACCATCTAACCCCCCAACTTCTGATCCATGGAAGAATCGGGCCACGCAAGCGGCAGGCGAGCAACTGAAGCTTCATTTGCATATGCACAGGATCCAGGTTATGTGCGAAACCATTGTCCATCCCCCCCAGTCCAGGAAAAATTGTGTCCCTGAAACTGATCCCTGGTGCCAGAAAGTTGATCTAACCACTGAAGCACAGCATCATTTGTATTAAAAAAAATTAGATACTGGACCAGTATATGCCCTCAGCATACAGCCGGTCACGATGTGATTGATAGTTTGACCCCACAGTAACAGTGAGGGGAGGATAGTATGCCCCATTTATACAGAGAGTCCGGGCAGATGCCGAGTGAGGTGTGAATCCTATTCAGGACTGTCCATTGCTGTTATAGTAGTTCAAAGCCTGGCATCTTTTTTTTGTGGGGTCATTTATGTCTTCCTACATCTGGGCATTCAGCGATTCATTTGGCTTTTCTTTGGGAATCGATGTGAAAGTTATTGGGGAGATGTTGTGCAAGTACCAGTAGATTTGAGATTCCATAATACAGACTATGACTAAGTTTCTCCTTCAGAGACAAGGAGTGCAGAAATTCAGAAAAAGGCCTGAGAAAGAGATAGAACCTCCCTGGTTCAACTCTCTGTTTTAACTCAAAAGATATCATTAGACAAGCCACTCCATCTCCACTAAGAGCTCCAAGATAAGGACAGCGTGGAATGTTAATATGGGCTAAGGGTTATGTGCTCATGTTAATACTCATTTTAGGAAAAAAGCAAGTTGCCTTCTAAAGAGTCAGGACTTTAGTCCGTCAACCTCCAAACATTCTACAATGATCATTAGTGATTTTCCAAGGTTTTCCATTAGCATCATTCCAAGTTCAACTTGGATATGCGAAGGCTATGCTTGGGAACTCCTGTATGTAGAGCATGTATTCTGCTACTGACTCTTCCTTTCTGGTTATATAATAGTGAGGAAAAAAATATCTTTTCCTTAATAAAATGTTAGATTATGTTTTAATTGTGATTTACACTGGATTAAATGTGTTAACCCATCCTGAAAAAAGATTATTTTACTCACTTGAGGTAGCTGTCTCACAAACAAAAGTGATGAGGTTATCTTCAATCTTTTCAAAAGCATCAAAGTCGTCAACTATAAAGACATGGCGTTCGCTTGGCTGACTTGCAATTTTGGCTAGTTCGTGGTAATCAACATCAGCTACACCAATAACAAATACACTGAAACCTGCAAAGACAATAGCAGTGGTTGAGATAACATGAACATAGGGAAGTTTCTCCAAGTTCTTCTGAGAAAAAGTGTGTCCCATCATATTAGGGCAATAACCTGACACTACCCAGGTAAGTGGGTATCTCAGAAGTCTTAGGGAGGAAGTCAAAGTTGCATTACCAATACTGAGAGCCAAGACTGGTGTAGTGGTGAAGTTGCTGATGTAGAAACCAGAGGACTATGAGTTCTAATCTCACCTTTGGCACAAAAGCCAGTTGGATGACTTTGGGCCAATCACACACACTCTCTCTCTCTCGGTTCAACCCCCCTCAAAAGGTTGAGGTTGTGGGAGGGATATAGGAAGAGGAAGGAGCATTAGATATGTTCACTGCCTTGAGGAACTTATGAAGTAATAAAGGTGGGATGAATGGTGGAAATATATACAGAGATAAGCAGTACAGGTAATCCTCGACTTACGACTGGCTGCTTGGTGACTGTTCAAAGTTACGATGGACTTCCAAAAGGAACTTGCAACCTCGTTCTGAGGTTCCTATGGCCACCATCACGTCCCTGCATTTTTATGGCCATTTGTAGTGTCCTGCAGTCATGGGATCACAATGTACATTTTTGCCCCAAACCCGTGTTTACTTCTGGTTTTCAGCAAAAAGATCCTATAGTGAACAATGGGTTTCTTAATAACCATATATTTACTTAATAAAATTGGGCTGATCACACGATGCCCTACTTTATGACCATCGTGACTTACAACCATAATAGGCAGGTTCCATTATAGTTATAGGTCAAGGACTTACCTGTATTTAAAGTACTCCAACCAACGCACTAGTTCCGGCACAAGTGGCTATGAAGCACTCACAATCTGAACTGTATGTATTCCAGTCAGCCATGATACAGAATCTGAGATTTGATGAAGACTGCAGAATTAAACCCTGGCATCTAAATGTGGCTTACCAGACTGCTGTATGACAGCTGCAGCTTTCATCACTTCATCTTGTGACCGACCATCCGTTACGACCACAAGGACTTTGGGAACTCCTTTCCTCATGCCTCTTTCCCATATAAGCACCTTGTCTTTGATAAATGCAAGTGCCTTTCCTGTGAATCAAGAAAAGAGTTTCATTCAGGTCATCAACCTAAAGCCACGACTTTGGAAGGGCGGGGAGGGGAGGAATAACACTGGAATACATTCTAAGTTAAAACCTATGCAGTAACAACATGAGAAAACCTATCCCTGGAAACTACTATTCAGAGGTTGTGCTAAATTACCTGTTTTTGTGTTCCCTCCTCTATATTGAATATACTGAAGGGCTCCCAGGGCCTGGGCCTTATCATCATACGTGTTCAAATTGAACTCAGATTTTGGATCGTCACTGTATTGCACAAAGGAAACCTAAAATGAAAAAAAAAACCCCACCAAAAATGTAATGTTATATTGTTGAAGAAAATACAGTTCAACAGCTCATATTCTATAATGTTATATATCTTGGTCATGTGTAAATCTTACATATAAATATATATACAAGCACATCTTTTTTATTAGTAATAATTATGGGTTTTTAAAAATGTGTGCCTGACTTCTTTTTTTTAATTAATCTGTTATTTAGAGAATTGTTGCAATAGGACTATGTAAAAAGGAAAGAAGAAAAGGGAAGGGAAGAGGGGAGATATGAAAAGGCTCTTAACTTTTTCATTTTTGTCACAGGTGACAGGATCTTTAAAACTGAAACTGCCATATTATAACTACAGTATTTACTTGAAAGGTATGCAAAAAAAACCAACAATTTATTTTGCTTAATATTTAAGAACTGACTAACCTGAATTCCATTTGGATTTATTAGGTCAAATGCACCAATCGTGTTGAAAACAAATTTCACCACTTTGTTGAAATTTTCATCTCCAATACTCCAAGAAGCATCAGTCAAGAAGACTATATCAGCTTTGGCACCCTTGCATACTAAAAGATACATTGGATTCAGAAATCACTCAGAAGATGCAGCACAATAAAAAAAAATAGGATGTAGTAACTGGAACTTTTCAAAGTGACAGGCATTTGTCAAAAAAATGGTATAGGGTCTCATGCAGAGGATTGGACTAGAAGTCCTATAAAGATCCCTTCTAACTCTGTTATTCAGCTTTGCTATGCAAAAGCTTTCCCAAAAACTTTCTCTATTTGGATTTATATAAAAGATATTAAGACGTACGCCAAATCTGTCCACAAAACAAAATATAAAATGCTAACTCAAATGTATAGATACACAGAAAACAGGGGAATGATTAAATGCCACTGGAGCAGAACTTACTTCACTGTTTACAAGCTATCATTACCATTAATTATAGTTTTCTGAATCAAGATAAATTCCAGAACTCTTAATCCCCCACAATTTTTAGATCTTATAGGCATCCAAAAGCAAACACTTACCATCCCGTGCAGGTGGAATTGTTGGAGGTGGAGGTGGCGTAGGTGGTGGCGTTGGAGGCTCAGTTGGCTTGATTACTAAAGGAAATCAATTAAAATATTTTGCATTTTTGTAAGCTGGGAAATAATACAAGTGGAATAGAACTATAGGAAGCTGCTCTCTTGGCAGATCAGTTGTTAGAAATTTACCAACGTGTTCCAGCAAACGTTTGGATCCTCCTGTCTCCTAAACTATAGCTCAAATATGTTTCAGGGATTCTGAAGTTCTATCACCATGGCCATTTATTATAGTGCTAGATTACAACTCCCCTAGAATACGAGTTGGGGATAAAGCATGTACATTGCTGAATGGTCTCTTCTGCTCCATCCTGTGCCCCTTCTCTGAAGGACAGGATAGGGGATGGGTGAAAGATAAAACAGGAGGGATCATCTTTGATGTTCCTCATAACCCATCCTCCTTGTACTTTCATGATGCTATATTGGAAATGTTGCCTTAAAAATGATATGTAACTATCTTGTACTGTAACCTATAAATTTAATTATTTTGCCCTGCAAAAAAGGTAAGGAATGGGAAGAGGGTGAAAAGTATCCAAATCCTAACACAATAGACATAGGTAGCAAGGATTGTTGTCTTTTCTCAGGCTAATGCCACATGCTGTTCAGCTTTACTGAGAAGAAATGCACACTGAATAATTATAAAGCAAATATCATCTGCGATACAACAAGTATTGTAAGGTTGTTTTTTTAAGCCACAGGTTGTTAAATGTTCCATAATGGCTTCATTTAAGTGCAAATATTGTATTAGGTGTGATGGATGATCCATATATCATACAAAGTCCCCAAGCTCCCAGGTACGGCTTAGCTGCATGAACAAGCCTATTTTTGTCTGGTAAGCAGAATGTGAAGACTGGAATCCAGCTGTTTTTTGAAATCCTGGCAGTCATAAAAAATTCACATTTTTCAATTCATGAATGAAGGAAAGCTGGGTTGTCTGGGGGAAAAAATCCATTCACTAAACCAATGGTATATTCAGAGAAAAATGCTTTCATTATATTCTTTACAGATTCTCTAAAGTTGTTCTGGTTTTGTTATTGCAGTTCCTGTCATCTTGGACTTACATGTGCGTTCTTTTGTAGAGATTGGAGGACCTTCAAGATTTGGAGTCTGAACAAAGACAGTAGCATTATATTCAGTATCAGGTGAAAGCCCAGTAAAACAGTGACTGGTTTCTGATCCACGCACTGTTATTTCTTGACCTCTAGATCCTGTAAGCAAGTGAGAATAAAAATGCTTAATTTGTAGGACCTTACGTACACATTACTGCTTGTAAGCAGTATAATAGCTATAGCACTTAGATTTATATACTACTTCATAGCACTTTACCACCATCTCTAAGCAGTTTACAGAATCAGCATATTGTCCCCAACAATCTGGGTCCTCATTTTACTGAGTTCGGAAGGATGGAAGGCTGAGTCAACCTTGAACCAGTCAGGATCGAACTGCTGGCAGAGGGCAGACAGCAGAAGTAGCCTGCAGTACTGCATTCTAACCACTCATCACAGCTCTTCACAACATAATATATGTCATGAAGAAGTGAAATTGTTATAGGCAGCACTACCAGCTCTATAGTGGAATGTGTTTTTTAATTTTTATTTTTAATCTTCTAAACCATGGCAATTCTGCCTGTAGGCTGGTGAATTGTCAAAATGTGAGAAAGACAAGGTATGAAATAGCTGACTTCCACTATAGCACACAAAGAAAGAATAGCTTAGTAAGCAATATTCTTAATTATGATCCAGGAAAGTTAAGTTTAATACTTGTTCTCATCTGCTTCAAAGTTCCTTAATGCTCATATATACCTTTTTTCCAAAATAAAACAGGAAATAAAAGTGATCTTGTAACATATTCTGTTTGTGCAACATTTCAAAATTATTTATTCATATTATGCAAATAGGAAGCATTACAGACATAATCTGTATTGATAAATTACTGAATTGTAATAAGGAAAATTATAAATGAAGGACCATTAGGGGCAAAGTTTGTTCAAATCAGGTATATAACATTTATAATAAACTGATATCTTATTGGACATCTGATGATCATATGGACATTTTGAATAATTGTGACAAATTCAGAAAGGCAGCAAGGATATCAAAGAAGAAACAGCTGTCCGGCAGTTGAAATAATGCCCCTTTGGCTGAAAACAACAATACTTCATACTTATTTATTGACATTATTTGTAGCATCTCCAATCCATGGAGATTTGGGTGATGAACAATGTAATTCAAATATGCTAAATAACTGAAAAGGATCACTAGATATTTTGTAAATTAGTCATGACATGTAACCAATTTTTCATCCAAAACCATAATTACCATCAGCTGGATTCAGTTTCAGTCTGTAAGAAGAGGCTGACCGATGTGCTGACCATTTGATACAGAAAGTGTCCCATCCCACATTATAACTTGTTAGATCTGTAACATTCAAGTATACTATGGAAAATAAAAAAAAACAAACAATCCATTAGTCATCTGGAACAAATGAGATAAACTCTACAATTATAACAAATTATGTTAAGTCTTTCAGCATTAGGGTTACCAGATATCTGGCCAAAAGCAAACATGTCCTCCTCTTTGTCTGCATCTGGCAGGCATAACCTTATAATTATATATTATCTGGATTTTTGAATAGGTATGAGCTGTCTCGTCCTGAGCAGCTTTTCTGCGGTTCTATGCTTCCCTCATAAAAGCTAATCACAAGATAACAAGCTCTCCTTTATGACCTTAATTTGATAATTAGGTAGAACTCCAATCAAGGGCTTGGCTGCCACTTGAAACTGACAAGACCTTAATCAGTTACACGCTGAAGGCTTTTGCCTCCTAACTGGCTCTAGCCATAGAAATACCAGCATTAATAAAGTCATAATGCTTTACAGATCTTCCACTTATTATATAGCATTTAAACTGAATTTGATATTAAATGTTCAACCAAAATGGACCTGTACTGATAACATATATATTCAAATATGTGTGTGCATATGTGTGCATTTGTGTGTCATCCATTATATTTAATAAAGCTTATAAGCTTCAAAATCTTGGAAATATACATACATATATTATCCCTAATTACTTTAAAAATACGAATCCTAGGTATGTTCATATTAATAGTAGAAAAACAACGACCTCCAGGATAAATGTAAAAACAGTTGTTTTCTTACATTTATCCTGGAGGTCATTGTTCTTCTACTGTTAATACATACATATGTATAACACAAGGGTTGCTGCTATTCAGCATCTTCCATGGGAGGGCAAGAAGAGGCAGAATGAAAAGCAGCTTTGAAGCATAAGCCTTGCACCTTTCATAAGTGTATTTTGACATCACATGCATGCACAAAAGAGCTGGTAGGATGATACTGCTATCATACATTTATATAAAAGACACAGTTGTTCCAGGAAAATTGACATGTTTCATCGCATGAAATGCAGAGATAACAGCAGGATGTTAAAATGACCCACAGTGATTCAGAGATTGAACATTTCTTGGACAATGGCATGTTCCCTGAAAGCCCAACATAATAGGACATTTCTTCAAATGTATCTTTCCTACAGAGCAGGCAGGTTCTAAGAGATCGAAGTCTCTTATTGCAATTATTAGTATTCTTACATCAGCATTAATACATGGGGAGGGGGAGCTTTGGCCTTACATGTGGTGCCTTGATCCACCAAAGGTTCGCTAAGTCCAGACTCATACTGAGCATATACTTTGACATCGTAAGAAGTACTAGGCAATAAGTTGTGTAAAGTATATGAAGTCACCTCTCCAACAAACACCTCCATGGGCTCATCCGAACCTTAGAAGAAGAAGAAAAAAAATATGAAAAAGAATGTTAATGTTGCAGTCCTACACATTAACATATAAAGCTGCTTTATAATGAGCCAGACAATTGACTCATCCAATTGAGAATTCCTATTTTACTGACAACAATTCTTTGGGAATGTCAGTAGAGGCCTCTCTGGCAAAACTACAGCAAAACCTGCTTTGATAACAACTATTGAAAGGTGCTGATAATATTCAGTCCCAAAACCATATTTGCATGTTAGCAGCCCAGCATTTGTAATCTTACCTGCAACTTTATACACAATTTTGTATCCTAAGATAGGAGATGGGACAGGATCCCAGGCCACTCTGAATCGGGTATACCATTCATCAGATATACGAATATTCTGAGGAGAAAGCAGCCCAACTAAAAAAAAAAAAAATGAATTAAATGCATTAAGTTAGGGGAAAAAGGTATTTAATAAACTAATGCCAAGTCTATTTTATTTTTACTTCTTTCAAAATTGTGAAAGGCTGAAACTTCCATACTAAAATAAAGTGAATTTATAATTTTGGATCCTAAATTAAAACTGAATACTTTCAGCACTATTTTATTGTCAAAATCAGCCTTTTGTAGAAAATTCCAATGGTGCGCATAGAGAATTATTTATTTTGTTCTGAGAATATGTATAGTAATAACTCAGATGTAAATATATTGCTATTAGACTCAGCAAGAGATTTAGCTACATGTGCCCCACTTAAATTGAGTACTGGGTATAAAATTAATAATTTAAATGTCAATGTTTCACCATAAGTAATTTATGCCATATTTGACATTTGTTCAAATATTTTTAATAAGTATTTTTAGAAATGTAATGGCTAGTTTCAGAGTTCACCTGGTATACTATGTTAAGATTTTTTTCAACTTGGGTTAACAAATGGCAAATTTTCCTCATAGCAACTAGGCTCTATAGCACTACTTCAATTGGTTTGGAGGACTAATTTGAAGGACAGTAATTCTATATACTTTTTTTCCTTTACAGACTTTAAGCTCTCCTTCAGCGTCAGTTGAACTTTACTATGTAAAATCAAAAAGAGCATTGAGATAACAGTTATATTAATTATACCTGTTTTTCCATTTCCTGTCACTTGTCCACCATCTCCATCATCATAAACTGCTACAACAGTAATTTTATAAGGTGTATCTGACTGCAAAGGCTGTAGCAACACAGTATTTATTCTGCCAGGTACTGTTGTCTAAAACAAATTACAATCGGGGAAATAGCGTACAATTAATAAATTAGTAATTATTAATAATTTACCAACCATATAAGTTGTAGTATGTAAACACACTGGACTAAACAAGAAGATAATCTTTTATTTTGGTCCACCCATCACATTAAACACATGTTGAGGAGTTATGCCTGTTACCATTTGTATTAAATTGCATAGTTTAACAGTATAAGGGGAAGAATCATCTAAAGATGGAACTAGATACAGCCTTAAACATGAAGATTAAAATTTATTTCAGTAATTCATATATATTTGTTTTTATTCTATTAGGAGATTGTATACTGCCTTAATCACAGTTACATAATATATATAATAAAACCAATAATACAACAATACAATACAACAATGCAATAATATCCTTTTTTTTCCCACAGATTGGCCATTCATGTTTTTTTTCCTTCTTACGCCATACTACATATTTTTTTCAAGTATAGTACCAAGACATAGCAAAATATACTATAGGTTCATTCAGAAATAAGCAATAATCATAACTATGCCTATATATGTATATTTGTACAGAAGTCAACATGCCTTTAACCTCCCTATGGGAAATAAACTGGCTAAAGCATATTGTCAAAAATTTGCTACTAAATTTGGAGTAGGAAGTTATAAACTATAAAAAATATTGGAAGAATGCCTAAAACAAAAATTGAGAGCCAAAACTCATTCCTGATGCTCATGGTTATAAAACAGAGATATATCACGGTCATTAGAAATGAATCAACTGAAATTATTCCTCCAATGGAGGTGGATAGAATTTGCTTCTACAAATATGTATTTTCTGGTTCTTGATCATCTTTGAACAGATCCCAGAAATAATCCCTGCCTATATTTTCTGCTCTTGAGTTATATATAGTTTTTCTTTCGTTCAAAGTCTGGTTCTCAGAGACTGCTGGACAAGTCTCTGCAGTTTACTTGGGCAAGTTTTTTCAGTAGTATCAGGTGCAAGCAATCAGAACATCTCCAAGGTTTAGGTGAAGATTACTATGTGGGTTAAAATGTAGGTTGCAGGTGGACTTTTTAAACCCAGCTGAATTAGTGGAACAAGCATACCATGACTAACACCACCATTTATTTCAATTCGTTTACGCTACTTGTGATGGAGTCTAGCCTAATGGTTGCAATAGGGCAAGATCTATTTCTAATAGTTTTATTTCAGAGGATGGAATGGTTTTGCCCTTTTTAGTAAGCAGTTTGAAATACTATTAAGATTTGTAAAATTAGTTTCACTGGAGAATACAAAGACTAAACAAATAGTTCTATGTATTTCTTCCAAGAAATTATTGTCTATATGTAACTGAGTAGCCTTGTCTTGGATATAGGGCATGACCACCTGTAATTATGTAATGAGAAAATAGTATTTTTCATTTCATTTTTCATTCAACAACTTCCACACAATAAGGCACTGAAATTAACAGTTAATGCAACCATTACCTTGCAGCAGCAAAGTAATAGTAAAGCAACAATTACATATATTAAAAAAATATGAACTTACATATTCATCTATGGGGTCCCCAGAAATAGAACTATATATAATTCTATATTGCTGCACAGGTCCATCTGCATGATCCCACTGAACAGAAAGACTGTTTGTTGTTGGATCAAATACTCTTATGTTCCTGGGTCCACTACGAGGCACTAAAACAAATGAACATTAAATATAAAATAAATTCAGTGTAGTAATCTTCTTAAACCATGGAACCTGCAAATACTTTACAGGGGCATGTATAAAATGGGGAAATTATGTCTTTTTAATCCAGAACAAATAACTGCATTCTAGAGATTGTGATCCAAAACTATTTTGGATTAGCCAGTTTGGAAGAACTGAAACTTGGATAAAACAAAATCCAGAACGGGTACCTTTCCCCTCATCCACTTAACCGCTCCTATCACTGCATCTCTCATTTGCCCACCAATCCCCCAATTATTTCTTCTCTTGCTTCTCAATCTCTTCTTAGTCTTCCTGGCTTTTTCCCTACTTGTGAAAAAAAACAGCTGTTCCACTCCATGCATACAGCAGACACATACAATAAGCAGGTTTTTTTTTTTTTTTTTTTTTGGCAGCAGCCCATCTGAAACCAGAGATTCTGTACACAGAATATTTTGCACATCCTTAACATTAACTTTGTGCGTCAATTAATTCCACTGGCTGATTCTAACTCAGTAATTTTCAAATGATGCTCAGTTTGAAAAATGCACTGCTTTTGATGACAACTAGATCTTGAATCAACGCAGTATGGATACTGAGCAATTATGAGCATGGGCAGCTAAAATTACTTTTCTTAACATCACTGCTTTAACAAGGTAGAAAACAGCAAACAAAATAATAATAAATAAATAAATAAATAATAGAATTTTTCAAAGTGGTTAACTTAATAACATTTATTTATGCAATCCAATCTTATGAGCCCTTGTAAGTTTAAAATTGTGAACATTTTTGATTTGCTATATCCTTCTAGAATAGTTTTGGGTTAATCTGGCTTCATGATCCTGGTGAATGTTCAATATATAACTGTTCGTGGCTTCAGAAACTATCATTAAAATAATTCAACTAAAACAATTGCATTTATCAAAACAAAAATTAAAACATTAAGTGAGAATTATAAATTTATTTAATGCTTATTCAACTTTTACAAGCTAAATAGGAACAATGCTCACTCTGGAATGGCCAACTCAACAAATAGTGGAATGTTCATAAAATAAGCTTCATAGAAAATTTAGACATTATTTATTTCCCACTAACTGAAATAAAATAGTCAGTGATACAGCCAGTAATGTGTGTCTACCTCTATAATGACCAAACACAGAATTGTGCTTTCTCAAATTACACTTTCATCTCATTGGATGATTAAATCAACTTTCTCATTCTATATTATAATTTTTCTTTCTTCTAGAAACATCCTTCCTCTATCATTGTGATTTCAATCTTGCTTCCTCCACAATTCCTCCAGTTTTAATCCTACTCTACCCATTCTTTCATTGTAGCATCCTTAATTCAACCGAATTATACTCTCACTCTAGCTAAATGGCCTCAATTCACCATCACAGCTCAACTTGTCTCCTTTCTCCCTTTCTTGTCCTCTTCATTCCTCCAACATCTACATATCCCAACCATCCACTGGGTAAGATTTGGAGCAGATCATCCTTGTGAGTTTCAAAAGGAGTCCTAAACAGACAAAATTTCTCCTCTCAAAACCATCCTTGAGGATGAAGATGCCTCTCTCTTGACCTCATCTAATATAAAATCCTAATATTTAAAGTTTTACATTTTTAATTATAGCAAATATTGTACTAAAGGCCAAATGTCAATCTGAACATGTTACTATTGACAATCTAAGATGAAATCATGAAGGTCACTTTCAGTCACAATGAACTGCATGCTGGTATTATATACAGATAGCTGTCAGCAGTGCTTTTTTTTTGTAAAAAAAAAAAAGGGGGGGGGGGTGCTGGAACTCACATACGTCATACAACCCGCCTTGCCCACCCTACAAGGTTTCATCCAAAAAAGGTGCCGGAACTCCGTTCTGGGCATTCTATGACAAAAAAAGGCCTGGCTGTCAGTATTCACTAGGGTATCTCTCTGTGTCTGATAATCCACAAGTATATGAACATTTACCAAATTCTGGATATTCATAGTTTAGTCCTTAATATAAAAACTGGTTTTAATTCCTCTGAAGACTTTAAAGTGGGACATTTTAAGTGTTTAAAGAATATACTTTAAACCTGTATTCAGAGACATAATGAACTAAATACAGCAAAATTTTCTATGCAAAGTTTCCCTCATATATGTTCATTCTATACTTCTAATCACTGAAACAGAGTAAACTACATTCATGTAAGGCCCAGTGCAGAATATAAGAACCAAAGTGTATTTAGAGAGCTAGGTAGGAAGGAGTAATTCACACCAATCAGCGTTGGGCAATAATGTGCATGATTTTCTGCTTACATGTTCTTCCCTGTCCTGTACTTGGATCCCCTTCTCCATCAGCATACAAAGCAACGACATTTATTGAATAAGGAGTATCAGGTGACAGACGTTCCAGTAAAACGTTGCGCGTGTTGCTTGGGACAATAACCTAGAACGAAAGCAATACTTAAAATGTTGTCTGTAACTGATGGTGAACTGCTGAATATTCTTCACCAGCTTAATAGACTGCTTAAGTAATGACTCTTCAGGGGTAGTTAACAGCCGAAAAACTACCTCAACTCTCACCTGGAATGCATGACCTGGGGATTATATGTCTACATACCCCCTACCCAAATTGTGAAATGTCTAAAAATGTCAAAATGTTGCTGTTAGAATATTTGGCCCGAACTTTTTTACATCCGTACAGTACATCTGCTGATATACTGAGGTTTTAAATTTTTACTATTATCTTTTTCCTATACCCTGTTTCCCCTCCTCCCAATGCATTGTGAGCATTTTTTTATCTTTGATCATGAATCAACAAAGGACTGAAAGCTCAGAAAATCTAATATTGGAAGTTATGAAGTGGGCTTCCATGATTGGGGGTGAGCCTGAACTCAATGTTCTTACTCCTAGTCCAAAAAATTAACTATTACGCTGCACTAGTTCTAAGCACAGAAGCATTTCTCCACAAACTGATACAAGTTATGAAGCTGTCCCGAAGAATGTCTACGCTACAGATAATTCTTGACTTACAACCATTCATTTAATGACTGTTTGACGTTACAACAGCACTTTAAAAAAGTGACTTATAATTGTTTTTCAGTTATGACCATTACAGTATCACATGATCAATATTCAGATGCTTGGCAACTGGCATGTATTTATGATGGTTGCGGTATCCCAGGTCATGTGATCGTCTCTTGCGACTCTCTAACAAGCAAAGTCAAAGGGGAAGCCAGATTCACTTAACAACTGTGTTACTAACTCAACAATGTCAGTGATTCACTTAACAATTGGGGTAAGAAAAGCCATAAAACAGGGTAAAACTCATTTAACAACTGTCTTCGCAATGGAAAGTTTGGGCTAAATTGTGGTCATAAGTATATGACATTTGGAACATTCAGACATTTACAGTGGAATAGGATGCATTATTTCTTTTTCATCAACCAGAGATTGCTTTAGAAATAACTGTGTTAAATTACTTACAGATTCTGATGGCTTTGTGGCAGCTAATGGATTATAGACAACTTTGTACTGCTGTACTGGACCTGGTGCAGCCTCCCACTGGACATTAAGGCTATTTGTTGTTGGGTTGTAAATTTGGATGTTTCTTGGTGTCCCCCTCATCACTGCATCATATAAAACAAATTTGCATTTTTAAAAAAATCCCCCTATTTGTAGACTCTGAACGAAGTATAATCACAAGACTTAACTATTATATCAGTTGCACTTTATGTTATTTGTGTAATAATGTTATTTATGTAAATAATGTCTATGTCATTTGCATGAAGATATTGTGTAGGCATCATTGTATTGCACAAGGATGTCATTCCCTAAATAATGTCACTTATGTCACCACAATGACTTACTCTTCAGTTTACTGGACACTGGGGAATAATCTATACTCTTTCCCACTTCCATCCCTACCAGTCTACTAAAAGTAAGTTCCATTGTAATAATTTTGGTATCACTGAGGAGGACCAGCTCTGGAAGAGAGAACCCCAAAATACTTTTTCATATGTTAAATAAGCTTGCAAACAAACAGATTAATTATGACCTTTTTGTGAATTTCAGTTATGTTTCCCTGTATTTTTTCTACTATACCCGGGCTAATATCTACAAAAATAGCTTACTAATTTAAGTCACCTTACTAAATTAAGTCAATGATTTGTACTATAGCATAATGAAGTACAGTAAACGTAGGCCCTTTACAATCAGCAAGTTACCTACTTCTATCTTAACTAGGGCCCAAAGTCCCAACATTTGATGAAAGAGGAAAAAACTCCTAGTTCTACTTACATGTTTTCCCCATATCAGAAACCCGGCCTCCATCGCCCTCTGAGTAAACAGGGACAACGGTTACTTTGTGTGGAGTGTCGGACTGGAGATTCTTTAGAACGGCATAGTTTGTATTCCCAGGCAAAGTTACCTGTCAAAGTTTAAAACAGGACATGTAACTGGAAATTTCGTGGTTGTTCTTAAACCACTTTCCCTATGAATGTAAAAGATAACCTTCACGTTCATTAAAATTCTCCTCTTATTTTATCCAAATCTAAAATCTCAGGGGAATTTTTCATCTGGCAAGTGCTCCATAAGCAGGGCCCCCAAATTCAGTGGAACATCATTTTGAAAAGCCTCCAAGCAAGTGTACAGAAAACTACACAGGTACAAAATATGCACACAAAACAATTACCATTTCCTCTCTTCCTCCTGCCACAGGTACGTAATACACCTTGTACTGACGAGGATTTCCTTCCGCATGATCCCATCGGACATTCAACGTGCTAGTGGTTGGATCATAAACTCTGAGATTCCTTACGGTGTTGAGAGGTTCTGAAGTTATTGAAAAGTATAAGACAGAAAGAACTATTAAATACAGATATGCCTTACTATAAATCAAAGTTCTATACATTAAATATGAAGCCTGTCACAGTTGTGAGAGGGGTATCTATATAAATTGATATAACAAAGTGTTGCCCTAGTTATGTAAGCTGGCATAAAACTGACACTTGAATGGCTGCCATGTCCACTTCAGCTGTCCATTTTTAAATGCATTGCATGGACAACCTAAACTTATTTTTTTCTTTAATCCAAAGAAAATTTTAAAATGCAATTTATTGCAATACAATTCTCTGCTACTGCTTTGCTGCTGCTGCTGCTGCTGCTGCTGCTATTACTGCTACTGCTTTATTTCTGAAGCTTAAGGACGGCTGAGGAACTTCACTACTCAATAGCCATCCAACTGTACTATTTATGATATAACTATGCTCTCATGTTCTAGAAACCATTAACCTCATTGGGTGGGAAAACCTGTTCTCCACTGACAAAAAGAAGAGGTGGAATGATGTAACCTTTCATCAAGTAGATTCAGACTAACTTATCCCAATAGATTACTATTCGGGAAAAAAACTTTATTAAAGACAAATTAAAAACCAAACTAATAAAGATGCTTCCTTCCCGTCAATCACGCCATGGTTATTAAACTATTATTCTCATTCTTGTGGGGTTAGATGTACCTATTCTTCATTAACACTATTAAGTAAAAGTTGCTAGCTTTTTAGATATAAATGCACAGTAATTTCTCCTAATAAAACTCATTTGGTCAGTGAGTTTAAATACATTTAATTCTGATATATATGTTCCTCTCTCATTCAAGCCAAATACTTGGAAAAGTGCAGAAAGTTGGGAAACCATTAATGAAAGCACACTTTTTAAGAGATAAATAGGGGAGACGGTGGACTCATATTTTCAGTAATCAGAACTTTAATATATGTGTGTTGATATTTAACGATGACCCTTTAAGGGGCAAGCTGGAGAATGTCAAAGGGTTTTTCCAACAGTAATCAGAACTTTAATATATGTGTGTTGATATTTAACGATGACCCTTTAAGGGGCAAGCTGGAGAATGTCAAAGGGTTTTTCCAACAATGAAAATGAACGTAGACTTTATCTTTATGGCTCCAACAGCCTTTTTTCATGGGGTAATACTCTGCTGACTACATAAGATTGAGGTTTTTTTTTCAAAACTGCATTCCAGCATTAGAGAGAAGTCCAGAGCACGGAAACAACTAAATTGCAGTGCACAGAAATGGATGGAAAGGGGAAAAGGAGAAAAGTTCATTAGTTCACGTGTAATTATGGTGAAGCCATCCAGCTTTTTTGTTATTTGTCAATGATCCAAAGTGAAATAAAGCACCACCTCAGTCTGATTTGGGTCCAGGGAATAGAATCCCTATTTCAGAGAAAGAAAGTTGGATGCTACACAATAACTGTGTAAGGATTGTACACATATTCAATAAAGATTTTCTGGAAGAAATAAACTTATATTAGACTCTCCTTCTCTCCCTCCCTCACACATATATACCATGGAAAGAAATGAAAGCTACAGAAAGAAATTCTAGGTATTAAATACAGGTAGTTCTTAAGAAATGATAAGACTATTTAACAACTGTTCAAAGTAACTACAGGTACTCCAAAACTATATATGATCCTGTTTCAAAGTTACAGCAGTTGCAGTGCCTTGAGGAGCTGCTGAAACAATTCAACCCCACGCTGGGTGTTTGCAAAGCTATTTTGCTGTCCTATTATCTGAAGGACCCAGCTAGGACTTAAAGGCAAGTCCTAGGTAGATCCTACAGCAAGCATGTCAAACTTGCGATATCACTTGACGTCGCACAAATTATCGGAACTTTTTCCCCATTGCCGGCGATGGGGTAGGCGCGGTTTCAGCGTGACGCATCCGGCCAGTGGGCCAGCAGTTTGACATGCCTGTCCTACAGACAGTCAGATGAACAGCAAAAAAAGCTTTCTAAAGACCCAGCATCTGCCATTTTATTGCACAAGTCTCTACTCTGCTAAACGTTTGGAGATGTTTTATTTTTATTTTTCATCTAGTTCAAGGGAAAAAGCTGCAGAAAGATTTTCTCTCCTTGCTTGCTCGGTTCCTCTACTCTTCAGCCTGGAGTCAGGAAAAGGTTTTTAAAAGGGATAGAGATTGGACAGCAAAAACAGGGAATTTCGTTTTAGCATATAATGGGGGAAGGGGGTGAAATCAACAAGTCCATTCCTCCCAGCTTTTTCTGTTCTGTTTATTGAAGCAATGTGGGTTTCTGGGGAAGGGAGGTGGTTAAGCAAGAGAAAGGTTTTGGAAAGCTGGTCCTGAAGCTGCTGCCTTTGCATGCAGGAACTGGCCTCCCCAAAACCTAACAGCAGTCAGGAGAGGTTTGCATCCTCCCCACTATCAGCCGTTGGGGCAGGAAGCCCTGAAAGGCTAGGAAACTGGTCCTTTTTTTGCCTCAGAACGGCAGGGAACCTTGGAAGGAGAAAGGGCAGGAGCAGAATTATGAAAGGCAGTCGCACCCAGCATATTCCTTCTCCATTGTTTCTCACTGCCAAGACAGCCAGCTGCGCAAGGGCTGGCATGTGAGGCACCCGAGGGGTGGGGAGAACATGGGATACCTCGGGCTGGGGGAGACCTTGGGAGGCCTAAGGCAGGTGGGCTAGTGTCTGCATTAGGCCTCTCAGGATCTCCCCCACCCGAGCACCACTTTACAATCCGTGCATTCATTTAACAAATGCAATAGGGAGAGCAAGGATGGCTGGTATTTGAGGCAGTTCATTTAATGTTTGTTGCGACGTCTGACCCTAGGATCCATTATGTCAAACTCATGACATCACATGAGGTCACGTGACGTATTGGAACTTTTCCCCCATTGCCGGCAATGAGGTGGGCGTGGTTTCCTCGTGACGCATCCGGCCCATGGGCCAGCAGTTTGACACCCCTGCCCTAACTAGAGGACTACCTGTACTGATTCAAAACAAATCCTACTTTGAATCCTATTGTGGACTTGAATACAATGGAATGACGTGGAAAATAGCAAGGCAACAAACTAAACAGAAAAACTTGTTTAGAAGTTGATAATGTGGCATTTTTTTAAAAAAGTGACCAAGGGTCATATGACAATGAACTCCAAAACCTGCCAACTTCCCCAATCTTTTAAAAATCTCTTCTGTGATTCCGTTTCAGTGAAAAACAAAATGCACAGGATAGTTTCACTTACTGGTCTTGCCCTTTCCTGATATTTGTCCTCCGTCCCCTTCTGCATAAATCGAAGAAACTGTAATGCGGTAAGGGGTGTCAGGCCGCAGCTTCTGAAGCACGATGTTGTTCTTGCTTCCTCCTACTGTGGACTTGAATACAATGGAATGACGTGAAAAAATAGCAAGGCAACAAACTAAACAGAGTTTAGAAAAAGAAGTACGTCTTGCATGTGTACAGATTCAGGGTTCAGGTTTCTTGCTCAGAACGATAGTACTGCAACTGTTTCATTAAACATTTTATAACATGTTAGGTGGACATTTTTAATTGTTTGTCTGGTTATTTGTCAAACACAAGAATGACAAGACATCAGTCAATGCAAGAGTGTTTTAAAATAAAACATTTGTTTTAATTCTGCATATCAGTTAGAAAACATAAACCTGAGAATGCTTATGTGTCTGATTAATTAAAAGCTATTAGCTATAGCTCCCTGGCATAGGAATTTGTAGGGGAAAAGGGAGGATTAGGACAAATGTATAGCATGATATCACAGTGCAAAACCTGGGACTTATGCACATGTATTCGAAATCATATCATCACATAATTGCCATTTTTTTCATCATCACAATTCATAACTGACTCATTGATCCCATGGCCTTTGTTCAGCTTTTATTATGGACAATAGGACAGATAATATGACATGAAATTTCATCAAAATCCAATTGCAAGGACGTGCAGCAAAATTAACTGTATATGGTTATGACTGTTCACAATTAACATCCAGATACATGTGTTTTTCTCTATGGGTGAGCTTAGCCTATCTTAGAAATCTTGCATTTTTTGAAGCATAGCTAGAAGTGTCATCCTGCAACTTTTCTCTCCCTCTCTCTCAAATAAAATTCTACACTGAGATAATTTTTTTATCTAACAGTCAATATTTCCTCGTTGTAATAGAGGAAGCAAATTCATTTGACCTCATCGTGCAGAATGTTAAAACCTATGTTAAAACTATATATATATAAAAAGGTCTGTTAAGATTGTTAAAACTTTTAACAATCTCACATACTGATCAGACCACTTTTTCTTTTTAAAAAACTTTTTTTTAAAACAGAGAATGCTTTCCCTCTGGAGAATTAATTACCGAAAGTTCAGGACCATCACCCGTAGCAGGTCGGTAATTGATCCTATAGCGTTGCACACGTCCAATGGCAGGATCCCACTTGACAGTCAAGCTATTGGATGTTGCATTATATACCTGGAGATTCCGTGGGGGACTCGTTGGTACTGGTAGGAAATTATTAAAACAGTTGCTGAGCCAGAATCTTATAAAAAATAAATGTGCAGTACAACCGAACTATCATATGAAATCTATGTCCTCATGTCTGAGAAAAAATATTTTTAATATTTTAAATTAAAATGGTTTTTTATTTAAAATGAAATGTAACTGTCTAAAATTTGGATTTTAAACAATTATATCTTCACAATATATACCAAATAATATTTATAAAATACTACCATGCCAGATTGCACTGGGGAACCAAAAAATGACAGACATGCAATGTATCAACTATGTGACTCTAGGTCAGCAACTAACTCTTAATCTAATCTATTTCATATGATTCCTATAAGGATAAAATGGGGTGCAGGTGAAGAGAATTTCATTTAAATGCATGGAGGAAGTGAGGATGTATGTATATTAATATAACAAATGATAAGAAAAAGTCAAGGTCAAAAACGCTGGACAAGATCCATGATGCGTATTATTCAGGATTCATAGCATGTGAGATCCATGATGCAAACACAGTATTCAATAATTCAGTGATGCCTCAAGATGCTCATTGAGCATGTAAGATAAATTATATATATATACTGTGTGTGTCTATGTAATTTTTTCCAGGGATATCTATTTGCTATCTTTCCTATTATTTTCTACTAGTCCTAATTTGCAACATGCTAGTTATGAAGTGAAGCACCTACCTGGTGTTGTTATAGGCACAAGGGGCACTGTAAAGAAAAATACAACAGAGATTAAGTGGGTGTGAAGCCTGTACCCTTTAATCATCCCAAATTACTAATTAATTAAGGTATTTCAAAATTGCTTACATGTACGTTCACTCCCAATCAATTCATCACTCTCTGATTCATCAGGATAAATTGCAGTAACTGAGATGTCATACAATGTGTCTGGGATAAGATTTTCAAAAAGTTGCGTATTTTCATCACCATTTAGAATTGTCTTTAAGAATTATTGAGGAAAAAGAAGAAAAAATTAGAAGAGGTTACATACCAAGCAATTCATGTATCAATCGTGAACATTTTTAATATGGTAAAGTATATCCTAGAAGATATGCAACCATTAGCCTTTCTCAAGGCACTAAAGAACCTGGTTGTTTCTCCAGGCATTTGCATTGTTATTTAGTGAGTTTTTCAGTAAGTGAGGTTATTGTTTATCCTTGGTAGCCATATGTGGTGGGTTTTAAAACTACCCAGAGTCAATCTGTCTTCCCCCCCATCTCTCTCACTCACACACACGCGTATATAATTTTACATTACCAATCCATTCATCTTCAAGAGGTACAATTAAATCTATCTATCTATCTATCTATCTATCTATCTATCTATCTATCTATCTATCTATCTATCTATCTATCTAAACCACCCATCTCCCTCAAAGAGGGATTCTATATGTGATGGGAAGGAATCACTCCAGAAAATACACCATAAACCAACATTTTCAATAAAACCATCACCAGCATTGGCCTTTATCTCTACATGAATAATGGTATTATTCAGAAGGATGAAATAAGGAACAGACCCTAAATTGCAGATCAAGATCAAAGAGAGATTCAAGAAGAGCCATTACTGCCCAGAAATCAGGATTCTATTCTTGCAGCCTCACATATTGGAAAAAGGGGGGGGGGAAATCAAGTTTCTTGATATTCCTTAGCTACAAATGCATTCTCCATCATTTTGACAAACATTAATTACCTTTAAGGGTCAATCTTTTGGGGCTGATGGGCACCTCTAGAATTTTGAAAACATATCAGAAACGCCCTCAGAAATGTTTGCAATGGAGCCTGCTTATATGGGAGTGACCATCACAAGACATCTTCTTACCAGAAGAGGTAAGATTGCTCCCAATCATCCTCTCTAGATGAGGCTGGAGGCTGATACTTTATTTTGTAGCACAACAAGTTCCCCTTTGTTTATCTTTCAATTAAATATCTTTTAAAATCAGGTTTAGAAGGAAGCCTTACACAATAGTAACCAAGAGAATATCCATGGGCACATAGGCATGGGTATCTCAGATTTTCATTAGGAGTAAATGTAACTGCTTAAATTTCATATAATCACTGGACTAACACTTCCACACTTGTTGAATGTACTCATTTTCTAGAATCCAAAAATTCCTACCTCCTGTTTTTCACGTTCACCATAAGGCCCCCACATTACTCGGTAGAGAGCTACATCAGGTGCTCCATGATCCCAAGTCCCTCTGAAACTAGTTGTGGTGACTTGATCTGTTCTCAAATTGAGCGGTGCTGGTACAGGTACTGTAGAGTGGGGAAGAGAGAAGAAAGGTCTATGTATATATACTAAATCACTAGATACAAAAATTTACTGAGTTAAGACCTTTTTGTTTTGTGTGTAACAACATGGGAATATACACAATAATTTCCCCACTTAGAACAATCTTCACTTTTTATAAAGCTTCATATGTATCGAATGTTGTTATGGCTAATACTTACACCTGACAAGTTCAGGCCCATGAATGCTGGAAAAACTTAACAAGTCAAGTTTCAAAGCTCTATTTCAATGTTTTTAACAAAGAGAAAGGCTAATTGAGGATTGCAGAAGTGATTTAATTGTCATAGAGTTGAATGAAAGACAAGGTCTTTTTGTAGTAATAAACTAGAAGACCTGTTTGTGGGTCTCCAGGGTCATCTGTACAGCTATTATAGAAAACTAATATGACCCTGTAGGGATGCTCTTATATTGCTTAACTGGAAGCAGTGTGACATAAAAGGTACTAATTAGAACATGGTGGGCTGATAACACAATTGCAATATTGTTCATGTGAAGCAGTGAAGGAAGCCTAATTTTTCAAAGATCAAAATAATCTTAATTTTTCAAAGTATGTATCTTTAGGCTTAAGATTGAAATATGCCACACATACTCCTGGTAACAAATTTTCAACCTTTCTGGATGGGATAAAAAGAAGCCTATCCGGTATCAATAAAATGAAAAAGGCTTCATTTCAATGATTTAAGATAATTTTATTTATTTTAATCAGATATGGAGTCTATGTATGACTTCAGAAGTGGGACTATCGAATGTAATGAAGCAATGAAGCTTTCGTTGTTGGATGATAACCTCATATTTACAAAGAAAAACCTTTTCATGGTATTGTCACATAGGAATCATCTACACATTAACTCAGCCAACCAAAACCACACATTATCTCCACAAAAACTGCATCCCCCAATTTCCAATGACTTTCATCATTTTATTATTAACTCACCCACTGAACTTTACAGCAGTGGAAATAAATGCTCAGTCCACTGAAGGCACTAAAGAGTTCTGATTTCACAAAGTCCATAGTCAGGATTCCCATGTGGTGACAAGAAACAACAATATTGCCCTAGACAGCTTCCAAACACAACTCAAGGTAACAATACTGTCCAGCTTTCATTAAAAATATTTAGAGAATACATAAACTAAGCATTGCAACATGCTCTACCTGGGGCTACCCTTGAAAATTACTTGAAAGCAGCAGTTACTCACAGGAAGAGGTGTAATTTCAATGTAAAACTAAAGCACATTGAAATATCACACTTCTTATGGTATGGAACACACACCCTTAAAGGAAAAGGGACACATCTGCCTAATTACCCAAATCTGCCAATTAACCCAGTGGATTAATAAATGTGGTAGCCAGATCACGCAAAAGAAGAGAAAAAGAAAGAATGCAAAGAGAACAATTTCTTTTGTAGATTTTTTTTTCTTGTGGTTGCAAACCCATATCCTGCAAAAAAGAAAAAAGAAAGAAAAGGAAAAGAAAGAAAAGCAACTGCTGAGCCATACAAAAAAAAAAAAAAAGTCCTGACTTTGGGTGGTCATGGACAGTTATTAGGCATGCAGAGACCTGTTAATAATGCACTTCAGATTGTGGTGCCATGCTTTTGAAAGGCTATAGCTGCTTCAAAGATCATTATGATTTTTATATTTGTATCTGGATATACTGCTTCCTTCTTAACATATCAGCCAAGGAACAGATGAGCCCCTTGATAGAAATATCATCAAAGCACTGATACTCTTACACAAAGGTACACAAATGCAACACACAACTCTAGCCATCTGTTTTAACTAATAACGCCACAATATCCTAACATCCTATAAAACCATATTTTAGGCCACACACTTTGTATGAGAATCTGAAGAAGCCCATTAAATAACAGCATTGACTTACAAGTGGTGGCTTCTGCTGCTACTGGCACAGAGAGCCCATCATCATATTCTGCAGCAAGTTCTACATGGTAGAGTGTTTTTGAAAAAAGATCAGGAAGAGATGTGCTGGTCTGGGATGGATCCACTTTCACCTGAATAAACAAAGTAGCCAAATTTCTTTCTTGACACTTATTTTTCCCAGGCAGTAGAAAGTTTACAACTATTTCTAATATATTAGAATTCTAATATATTATTAATAATATATTATTAATAATAACACCTGGATTTAACTAAGCAATATGTTTATTTTCAAATGAGTTACATTATCAGACATTAAACTGTGTATTTTATCTGGGATTCTTTCAGACATTGAAAGAATAAAATTCTACACTTCTCCAGCGATCAACTTAAAACATGTGGCACTTTATTCAATCTGTTTGAGAAGTGCAAGGATAATCTGCCATTTGTAGCTGTTCAAACTAGTATTCTGATATCTGGGGTGAGCATCACATTCATTCAAATCCTGAGTTGATTCAAAGAGATGCTATGGCCCTCACAATATATTTCCATGTGTGATGATGTCATCATGCACATGAGAAAAATTACATTATTCTCAACATGTCATTTTATGTGAATACCATAAATCAAAATGAATTTAATTTGTTGCATGACAACCCCATTTCCATTGCATCAAGATGTGGCAAATCAAGTTTTCACTGTGGTTATTCTCCCTGTTTCTACTACAATGTTTTCTAAATGACTGAATCAGTATAAAACCAAATATTGTCTATTTTTTATACAGCCTGATTATCCATCTCTATGCTAATGTTCTCATTTAAAAAATTTTTTTATTTTAAAAGCCCCCTCTTTTTTTGCTATGCAGGTTTACATATCATCCAATTAAGTTGTATATTTTGCTTGTAATAATAAATGATCCTGCTCATCATACAGTATAATCACAGTATCAGTATTAAAGTCAAAGGAACTAAAATCATTTGATCTTAATTTTACAGATCATGGACTTTGGCTCCTGTTTATTTTTTAACAATACTTATAAAATGATCCTGATTTAATATTTAATTTATTTTTACACACAGATTTACCTCTTTTACATCATCTTCTTCAGCTGCTTTATATTTCACTATGTAATTACGAACTTTTCCTGGAGCGTGATCCCAATTGACTTTCATGCTGCTGTGAGTGATATCACTTAGCCTTAGTCTTTTTGCTCCACTTAAAGGTACTGAAAAATAAACATAGTATTGCCCAAGTTCTTAGATAATATTCTTCTAAATCAATCAATCAATCAATAAATAAATAACATATAGCCAACCTATCCTACTTTGAATTTAATTATTAAATTAATACACCATTATTAATTCACTAATTTAAATTTTTTAATTTCAAAACTGTTGTACAGAACTGCGGATAAAGACAAAGGTTTTGAAAATGGTGTCCTCATTGTTACCATTCAAGTAGGTAACATTATATATAATAAGGCCATTATCTTTAAATTTTCTGGGGAAAATACTTCCCAAAATCTATACTATCCATGAAAAATAGCTTTATAAATCCCAGCTGTTACTAGAAAAAGAATACCAATGATTGATGTTCAAGCCTAACATTCATGCTTTCAAAATACTTCATGTCAGTATCTTTTCACAAAAAGCTACCCTAACCCTTTAAGTTTAAGTCATCAAATAATCCATGCTAGCTGATGTATCTAGGAAGTACAATCCTACCAGAGCAATGGGACACTGGGGTAAGTGCTTACAACTGGCAGTAATTATACTGCAGATATATATAAAAAGGAGTTGGGTAGCACTTTTTTAATCTAAAAAGTTTTCTTAAAAGGTACAAGCTTTTTGATTTTTAGCTACCATGGGCTAACACAGCCCCCCACTTATAGAATCTCACTAATCACTAAAGCAACAGACAAAATATTTCAACAAATGGTATTATTCCTACATGTGACTTCCTGAGTGGTGAGTGGATCACTAATGAGGTCACCAAAAGTTGAATGAACTGTTAAAGTGTACTCAGTATTTGGGATCAAGTCAACCAGCTGTACATCATTCACTGATGCTCCTACCCGCATCTAGAAGAAATAAAGGAAAGAGGAAAAATATCAAAATAAAAAACAAATGTTTAAAAATGTTTTCTTAAAAAACATTTATTGTCCAGAGTTACCTTGAGGGAAGATAGGCGGCTTATAATTTTTATAAATAAATAAGTAAATACATTTACAGTTTCCTGGCTTTTGCCATACTATATAGTGCACCTGTTGATGCATTTGATTTTATACTGTAAAAGGCAAATTATATCTCACTGTTTGGGTATATGGGAGCAAATATACGTATCTTCTCTCTCTCTCTCTCTCTCTCCCTCCCTCCCTCCCTCGTTGTTACCTCTTTTTCAGTTGCTGGTATTGTGGCATTGACAGGCTCATATAATAACATGTAACCAGTAGCTCCTTTTACAGGTTCCCAGCGTACACGCATTGTCCTTGAAGTGACATCATAAGCATTCAGGCTCCTCACCAAAGGGATTGCCACTGTGAAAAGCATAAATATTCACTTCAGCTACTCACATCAATATACTTATTTCCCCCTTTATCTCCCAAACATTGGTCATTTCACTTCTTTCTGGTTTGGGAAACAGAACATTGAAGGAGAGATTGTTGGATCTTTTACTTATTATACTGGGATAATGAAGGACTGCGACACTGTGACCAACCAATTCAAGCACAGTCACATCCACTGATACCCATGCAGATTTTGCTATTTGCTAAGATTTGTGTGAACAAGGTAGATATTAAATAACCTGAAACTTCTAATATAAGATTACCAATTTTCTTGTGACCAGCAGGATTAAAAAAAAAAAAAACAACCAAAGTTTCCAGAAGCGTTTTTTGTCTCATGCCTAATCGCATCGTGATGCCATCGGAGTATGCAGGGCCAATTTTGTTTAGCCCACCTTAGAAGGGTTGATAATGCTAAAAACATCCATTTCATCCTATAACCCTCAAACTTAAAATTCAGGCTTTAATTGTTGTTGCTACTTATTCAAATGGTTTGGAAACCACAGGGGAAAAAAATCCATAGAGGAAGAGGAAGCTTGAGTAGCTTCATGAAGGCCAGGCAGCAGAATCCAGATGACTCATCCTTCCTCTGGCGTAGGGCCAGTGACTCGTCTCTAGCTTGGTAGGTAACTATCCCAGGTCCCTACTAAAAAATATAGCACTCCTTTGGGAACAAATTATCAAATTGAATATTCCATGCCTGGTTAAGGATCAGGTAGATAAATAATGTCAAAAAACCCTACGAAGAGTCAATTTTATTAAGCAATTGCTTCATGTGACTGATTCTTACCTTTTATGCAATGTTTTTTATAAGTCTCTTTCCATTCCATGGTCTGAGCAACAATAGGCAAATTCTTTTTTGCTTAATATATTACAGATATTAGAGTTCCAGTATTTCTTGTTTTAAATCCTGGACTCTTTTTAACTAAGTCAAGGACACATGTTAAGAGGTTATGATTTCTTTAAAAAAAAAAAACTACGTGGCTTATTTATGGTTTATGTATATTCTTTCATTCAATTTACTGTATGTGCACCACCCAAAGTGCGATACATCTCTAGGCAGTTAACATCTGGTTGAAAGCCACAAACAAACATTTCAAAGCAAAACACTAATGCACATCACATCTGATGCCTCTCACGTGTCTATCTACTCCCCCCCCAGAACATTGACCACAACCAGCCTCAGATGAAGGAGGAGATCCACTGCAAGCCTGTCCCCCCCCTCCCAACCCCGGGCTGACAGACACTGAGAGAGCAAGAGACCACCAAACATGCCAGAAATAACTCTCAAGTGCCACTTCAGTATTCTATACAAATCTGGAACAGATCCTGATCCATCTCAGACTGGACAGCATCAGTGAAGGCAGCTGAAAGTTCCCAAAGATCATAAGTTTGGGAAGCTCCACAACCAACATAGCCAATGTCAAGCAGCTCAAATAGGGGAGCTGCTGTGTAGCAGGGAAGGTGGTGCAGTAGCAACAGCCCCATGTGATCCCTAGAATTTCACAAAGATGGCTTCTGGTGACTATCCAGAGTTATTCTTCTGAAAGCCATCAGTTTCCCAGATGCCTAGGGACATTCTATCAACTCTGTCTTGGGGATGCAGCAAGCGCAACACTTGAAACACAGTGAGCAAAGTACTAAAACATCTCCATTCCTCACCCCATCAGTCATATCCAGGTCTCTTGGGAAGAATTCAGAGGACTGCAATGTGAAATCAGTAGGCAACTTTTACATATCAGCTTCAATATCATCTATGGAGATTCTCGATCATCCAGGTCATGGTTGTCCCAAAGGGGCTTTTCCAGAAGGCAACGGGACTTCCTTAGTTTTTTTCCTTTGAAAACGTTTTGCTTCTCATCCAAGAAGCTGGAACTGAAGAAGCTTCTTGGATGAGGAGCAAAACATTTTCAAAGGAAAAAAATAACCAAAGTCCAGTTGCCTTTTGGAAAAAGCACCTTTGGGCCAGTTTCAATATCATGCACTACCTAAGGCCAGTCACTTATCAAACAAAAAGTGAAGGATGTTTGCCATACATTTTATTAATATTATTTGTATGCACTAACAATTATTCAGTATGTCTATTATTTTGGAATATTCACTTACATGTTGTTTCAGTCCCTTTTAATGGTTCACTACTGGTTCCTTCTACAATAGAAAATACATTCACAACATATTCTGTTTCAGGCTTGAGGCCAGTGAGGACAGTAGTGGTGTCCGAACGACTTACAAAGACCTGAATAAAAATAAATAAAACAAAAACAGATATAATTGAACATATTTCACAAATAAATGTAAAATATACACAGTTATCTTAGTTCAGGTACTAAATAATTTAAAATAGGACTTAAGTTATCCCTGTAGCAGATGTAATAGTATATATGTGATGCCAAAAGCTGTAAAATATGAATTATTTGGAAAATTAGGGTGTGTAACTCTTAATATCCTTACTGTAAGTTTCACTGCATCATGGCTGAAATCTATCTGGAATATGCAATCACAGAAGACAGCAGAAAAGTGTACTATATGTACAGTATATAAATTGGCTACCATCTCTCTGTATATGAGGGTTTAGGGGCTGTTTCAAATACATACTGCACTAAGAAACCAGCCAACTGTGGCTCCAAATATAGGAATATGAATATATATGTACACACATATATATTTATAAAACTGCAACATACAAAAGAATGATAATAAATATATCATATAGTAAACATATACGAAAATAGGAAAGGGAAAAAGAGATAATGTTTACATGCAGTAAAAGCTCTGTTACTACAGTATATAACTTCTCTTCAGCTACAGAGTTTTTCCTTTCTCCCCTCCCCTCCCCTCCTGGGGCTTCTTCTAATCATGTCTATTATTTGCAAATGGTTAAAAAGCCTGTGTTAATGCTCCTAAGTATTCTGGATGTTATGGCATCCAGATAATTATGGTAGGATGCAAACTGCCTGGTTGCCACATGGGAGACATTATTTTTGTATAATCAATTCCAGCACTAGCACTAGCCTGAGGATCAACTTAAACACAACTACGCTATTGGGGAAATAAGCATTAAATTAATGCCCATAACCAATCAATCCCTTCTGTTTAATACCAACCCTTACTTGATTGGACTGGTTAAGCAATACAGTGTAAGGACTCTACTCCAAGAAAGACACCCATTGCTATTGTTATTAGTATTGAGTAATACGGTACTAATGCGGGATCAGGAATTCTGGGAGATGAAGCCCAGGAATGGTAAAGTTAGCCGTAGCTGACCATCCTTGCTATAAAGTACAGTGTATCTCTTCTTCCAGCACCCAATCAGCCCAGCAGTCCCAGCCATTCTGAACCAGTATCAATAAGATATCACTTATTGCCTTTCTGTGTTTAATTTGGTACTATGTAAAAAGGAAACATTTTGCTCAAGTACTTTGAGGATAGTTTAAGACTTACCTACCAGCCATCCATGCATGCATATATTCACCATATGGTTTAATCAGAAACAGTGGAATTTAGGAATCTTAAACTAAGCAAAATACCCCCCCCCCTAAAATAAGAAATAAAATAATTTGTCTCCACATCTGACCTCCTGTGGTGTGCCTCCTTGGGCAGGATAATATTCAACTCTGTATCTATCTACACTCTCAGTGGGTGCAGTCCAAGACACTCTGAACGAAAGAGGGGTCACTTCAGAAGTAACTAGATTAGTGGGTGGCAGAGACAAATCACCTGTTGGGACAAGAAATAAATGGAATTTATGGTAAGGAAGTCTTGATGATGAGAAGATTTGCCAGAGATGAATCATAATTGAAGCAACAAAATATCTAAAGATGTTTTTTCTTAAGCGCATAAGAACACTTTATTATCAAGTATTTATTATTTAAATATTAAAGCCATTTATGTAGTGAATGGAGCTGTATCTGAACCACATTAACAGAAGTTATAGGAAAACAAACTGTGCACAATGAGAGAAAATCTGAGCAAATCTGGAAAACTGGTAACAATCTCCCTTTTGCTGGATGTATTCAAACTGAAACTGAACCCGTCAAAATGCTTTAGGGCAGTGGTGGCGAACCTATGGCACGCGTGCCAGAGGCGGCACTCAGAGCCCTCTCTGTGGGCACACGGGCCATGCTCCGGAGATGGCAACAGTCCCTCTTCAACCAGCCGCCTGCTAACTCGGCAAGGTCCCACGTGGCCGGATGCATCCCAGCACCCATGCGCTCGCTGGCCTCTGTGTGCAGGGGCCAATGGTGTCAGACAACAGCCGCCTCGGCCCCTGACTTGCCTTGCTCTGTGACAATGGCATCCGCACCCTGCCTCACCTCGCCCCGCAGGACGAGCCTCCTGCCCACCACCCCATCTGCCAGAGACCCCCTGGATCTCCCCCAACCCTTCCCGGCCCCCACGTGCATCCTTCCCCACAAGCAACATCAAGGTGATCACACCCACCTTGTCCACACCCACCCAGTCTGCCATGACCACCAAAGCTACACCCACCCAGAGGGCCACGCCCACGTGACACCTGACAATAAATAAGTGGGTTTTGGGTTGGGGTTGCAGTTTGGGCACTCGGTCTCTAAAAGGTTCGCCATCACTGCTTTAGGGCGCGAAAACAAGAATTAAGCATCATATTGGCCTTAACGGTCTTAATCTTCCATTTCAACTCTATGATTCTAATGAGACAAGGCATCCTAATAAAAATCATTCTGTGATTGAACATTTTAATATGTGTCATTTCCCTATGCATATATGAAATACATAAGGGTATAGACATTGCATGGCAAGAGAAAACAAATATGAAAAGAATTGCATTCCTATGTAGACCAGAGAAATGGATATCTTGTTCAGAAACTCTACTTGACCACATTCCAGGAGAAATTAAGCAGACACCTTTTTCTTAAGCACAAAATAAATCTCAAAGGGGTAAACATACCTGATGCTTTCACGCTATTGCACAAATTATCAGTGACACTATCAACAATATTAACCAGAAGGTTAAAATCTTCAACATTGAAAGCATGGGTGTCATCCGGATCACTTGCAATCTGCTTCAATTCATTCACATCCGCATTTTTAATACCTTAAAAACCATGAGATAATACATTTTAAGTGATTATTTAAGTAATCATCTAGAGATGAGCAAAAATATATTCCAACCCCTTTCTATATTTGATTTCCTCTTCATCTGATACTCACCGATAGCAAAGATCTCCACTCCCTGTTCCTTCAATCTGTCTGATGGAATATTTATGTCATCCTGTGACTTGCCATCAGTAATGAGGACAGCAATTTTTTTAGCTCCAGGCCTCAAGCCAGCTTCAGTCTTAAAACTGTTTCTTAAGATGAAGTTCAAAGCCATTCCTGAAATCACATATTTAAAATGAGGAACTCAATATTTATTGGCCTTTTTTCTGCTCAGAAAGTAAACCTCTAAAAATATTATAGCCTAATTTACTAGTAGATCAGTTCTTCCTGATCTACTTGGAAGCCTTTTATACTTTCCTTTTATTAGAACAATAATTCTATTCTTGTGAGACTAAAGGTTGCCAGATAAGATATCTGTTCCTGGCCCATTCACAACAGAAGCAGCAAAACCTCCAATACAATTACCAAAGTCTCTCACTCCTACTTGGGGGTCACTGTAGATCAAGATAGTTTCTTTCATAAGATAGGAAATGTGAGGACTGGACTACCAAAGGAACAGTGATACAGTACTACTCTTTAGAATCATACAATTTTGTGAGTCGTTTTTTTCCAGTATAACGTATGCTGAAAAAAATCAGTAGCAAAATAGAGAGCTAATTTGGTCTAGTGGTTAAGGCACCAGTCTGGAAAGCAGGAGACTGTGAGTTCAAATTCTGCCTTAGCCATGAAAGCCAGCTGGGTGACTTTGGCCAGTCATTCTCTGTCAGACCAACCCCCACCTCACAACCCCACCTTGTTGTTTTGAGGAAAATAGGAGGAGAAAGAAGGTGTACTGGATATGTATGCTGCTCAAATTATTTGTTAAGAATAAATAATAAAGGTGGGATATACATACATACATACACACATACATATATACATACCTGTTAGGGTGTTGCCTCCTTTATATGGCAAATTGGCCACAGCGTCCAATAAACTCTGTTTAGTTGAATGGGCATTGAGGTTCCATTCTGTTCTTGGATCTCCACTATACTGTGCAAGAGCTGGGGAGAAAATGTAGTGTAATTATAATTTGTCTTAGAATAGCATAACTCAAAATATTCCAATTCACTTCGAAACTTACCGACTTGCACTTTGTCTGGACCAATATCAAATACTTGAACAATGCTAGCAATAAAGCTCCGGACTGTTTTAAAATTTGTTCGACCAATGCTCCAAGAACCATCCACCAGCAATACAATATCTGCTTCAGTTCTGGTTTTACATTCTAAGCCTATTGCAGCAATCAGAATAAATCTGAGTTAGTTACAAACAACTTTTTTTTTCCAATCCTGCCTTACAATATACATAAAATGAAGATTTTAATTCACTTGAAGTTCTTCTATGTACGTCTTAACTCACTGAAATTCTTCTATGATCATTTCATTTCTTGCTAATAATGAAAAAGATGTCCAAGGTTGCATATATTATTAATTTAAAAATATTATTGTCATATGTACTGCATACTGATTAGATGGACACAACCTAAGTAAACTTAAATAAGTAATCAACGATATTCATCAGTTCAAATCAAGAATGCTTAATGTCTAAATTATAGGTATTAGAAATGATCTTTAGAGCTTAATATACACATGAACAGCTATATTTGCTAATTAATGCAGATGGTGCAGATATTTTCACATTTAAATCACAAAAGGAAGCACAACACAAATAAGATAACAGAAACAAACACATAAAAGAGTGGAAGTGACAAAACACACACATTTAAAAAAAGTATTAAATGCTTAGAAAGAAAACAATACTGGGGATTTTCAATGTATGAGAATAAAAATGAGAGTTCACTTTCCATATGTTGAAAATGACAGTATATTTATTACAAAGCAAAAACAGCACAGAATATTTAAACAATCCTTTCAACACCTATTGTAATTTTTAAAATGCATTCGTCCTCCTCCTCTTTGCTCTGAAGTTCATGTTATCAGCTGCAAAACATTCTGGCTTCCTGCCATCGCAGCTTCTGATCTTTACATGGAAGGAATCCCACTGAGTAAAATCAAGCACACTCATCAGAGTTAAAGATGGGTTCATCTATGTTTCACATCATTGCTCCAATATTCAGATTTACTGAGAACAGCTACTCCAAGGACCTGAAGATTTAAAAGTATGACTTTCTTCTGCGTAAAACAATAAATTCTGAACTTTAATCAATACAAGGATCACAAACTGGGAAGCAGAATATAGCTTACAAATCATGCATTTTCTAACCCTGGGTCACAATCAAAAAGCTGTACTATATGTCTATCCCACGCCACTACACATATTTCAATGCCATGGGAGCAATACTGGGAATGGAGATATCTAAAATCTGTGCTGAAATGGCAGACTAAAATAACCCTAAAGACTAGGTGGAATTATGCATGCAAACAGACTTTCCATAATTTGAAAAGTCTTCCAAATGGAAAAATCAATGCTACGTGTTACATAAAGATTCCTACTTCTCCATTTGAGAATTCTGGCAGATAAACTGCGTGGTTTTACATAAAGATAGCATGCTTTAAAATACTGTCATACATAGATGTTACTATCACAATGTTCTATAAAAGCTCTTACTTCATTTATTGAACACCATGCACTGTTTTCCTCATTTACCTTTATGTAATACTGACACATCTGGAACATCTGCAAGTGTTGTCTTTTCTTCTCCAATCAGAGGCATACTTTCACCTCCTTCAAACATTCCAAATACATTGACTTTATAAGAAGTGTCTGCCCTGCATGATTGAAAGATAGACATGTGCTATATATATTAGAGCAAAATGGTTTATGCAGATTCTTTCACTGTTTTTTTTCCCTAGCATGTTTAAAAATTGAGAATATATATGTTCCCCCCAACACACACACACACACACAAATACACACTTTGATAATCCCATAAAATATGATTAGGCTAGGAGAGAGAGGGACTCAACTAAAATAATTGAAAAAAATGTGGGTCTGGACTAGAGATTGAAATCTGAATTGCTGTATTCCTAATCCTGATACTCAAACCGTTATATCATAACAGGTTTTCTTCAAATTTTAGAGAATTAGAGGGAATTAATAGTAGGCTTTCTGAAATCTTGAGTACCATACACCAGATATACTGGAGGTGTATGAAATGACTTTATTGCAGGACATTACAGCCCACTGTACTCAATAGTATTGCTTCAATGGGACAATTATATTCTAGCCATTGTACAAAACATATACATTATCCAGCAAAAAGATTCAACATTCTAAGACTCAATCTCATCTTCTAGTGAAAAACTGGTGTATTTTATTGGAAGATTTCAATCCTGCAATTCTGTCTTCAGTAATTAGGGTAGACTTCAAAATAGATTTTTAAAAATGTCAGACTGTTAACATTAAGATGGGGAAGGGATTTCAATAAATACTGCTTACATTTATAACAAGAAACACTGAAATTGAAGAAAGTTATGATCAGCTTACCTCAGCTCCTCCAATACAACAGTATTGTCATATGGCCCAAGTACCAATTCACCAAGTTGTCTGTTTTCTCCACTTGGATGGAAAGTGACTTTGTACCCTTTAACTTCCCCAGGGGCTGGCTCCCAGGTTACACGAAAGCTTGACCTTGTAGGATCTGAAGTCTGCAGATTTTTGGGAGGTTTAAATGGAGAAGCTAGAAAAGTCAAACAATACTCATTGAATCCAATGTGAGCTGTACCCACTGGATAAATGTGTCAGGGCCATTGTACATGTTCTATGAAACAAATAGCAGTTTCAAAATTTTACTCAGACAGATCCAACACTGTCAGATACACGTTTTTGCTTATGTTGTGGTATTTATTTCTTTTACTTTCATGACCTCAATAATTTTGAAATCTTCTGAAGTAGATTTTTAGAGCATGCAGAGAAAGCTGGAGGGGAAGGGGCTTAAGACAAAACCCTGTTTTGTCTTACTTACAAAAGCAGTATCATCTATGGAATAACGTAACTGAATCCATACAATCAGAAAAAAATGTGCCATCTTTCTCTTTTCCACCATTTTGGATTCTATCAGCATTGGAGGCCTTACACTTGCATTTAATATTTTCAAAAAATAAGACATCCACCCAGAGTTTCTTTTTCATTCTGTAGATATTTCGAGATAATTTTAGATAATTTATTATTATTTCTGCTGCTGCTGCTGCATTTGTATCCATTTTGCAGAAATCATAAATCAAATGGAAAAAGAAGTGATTTCAAAACAAATAGGGGAACTTAACTAATTAACAATTGAATAGTCATTTGATGCCAAATAATTGATTCAGTATTTAGCACCAATTTGCTTATCTTAAGGAATGCCTCAGTGGAAGAAAGTTGATTTATTGCCTACATTACAAATATTAAAATAAGATGAAAAACTTGAAAAACTGTATCTGCTAATTAACATAATTTCAAATGGACTAAGATGTAAATTTCTTTTCCAGAATTATACAAAAATACATTTGTGCACCTGGAAACAGAGGTCAACAGCTCATACCTCTTATAAAGTATGTTATAGTCCTATAAGATTATGTCTTAAATTTACTTCTGAGGTGCCAAAATCATATGTGGATTTTCACTTTAGTAACAATCCATTATTACTGTTCATTATTGACAGGTTACAATGGTAAATCTTTAGGACACTTTAAGGTGTTCTATAAGCAGTGCAGCAAATAAAGATTAAATGGCACTGGATGTAAAGCACAAAATAAGCAAAAATTAAGTTCCTTCTTAATTCAACTGGTTTTTTTTTCTGTTTCAAGCTATCCCATATGTGCATAGTTTTTCTTTCTTTTTTTTTTACTAAAATGGCACTCATTCAATCTCAAAGAGCAAAAGCCAAGGATTTTGGTAAGGGATGAAACAGAAACAGCATTGCTTTTTAAACTCCCAAGCAGACAATGCATTAGAATGCCAAGGACTATATTTAGGATCTTAGGAAAGAAGAGGATAATCGCAGAATGCTCAGGACGTAACTCCAAGATCCTATCAAATTTCTGTTCTCATTCAGAATCAGCTTGAAAATACTTCTTATAATCACTTCAAACTACAGCTTCTAAGGCAGCAATCAGAAATCTACGTGAGAAGTCCCACGAGTACCAGACAGTAAGAATAATGGTAAGAGATTGTAGAACAGGAGTCTTCAAACTTGGCCCTTTTATGACTTGTGGACTTCAAGTCCCAGAATTCCTCAACCAGCTTTGCTAGCTAAGGAATTCTGGGACTTAAAGTCCACAAGTCATAAAAGGGCCAAGTTTGAAGACCACTGTTGTAGAGGTTGAGATCCAGCAACAATTAAAGGGCCAAAGTTCTCTAAACCTTCCCTGAAGGAACAGATTTAGTACACTGTTCTACACACTCTTCTACTGAACCTCTAACCATAGATTATACTTCAAATACATGGGAAAGCTTGAGATTCTCATATATTTCTCCTGTGTTCCAGGTAATCACAACCAGTTGCAAATTAAATGAACTATGTCATAGTCTTAGGACAAAGCTATCAGATCTAGGCTGCAAATATCTGGACTGCTAAAGGGCAACAACAATGCCAAAAGCTTTCATTTTTTGCTACCTTCTAATGGTCATTTGAACTTCAGACAACATCTAGTGCAGTGGTTCTCAACCTGTGGGTCGGGACCCCATTTGGGGTCGAATGACCATTTCACGGGGGTCACCAAACCATGCTGTCCGCCATTTTTTTCCCTTTTCCCTAGCTGTCCTATTCCCTCTTATTGGTGGCCACACCCACTTGGGGGTCACCACAACATGGGGAACTGTATTATGGGGTCACGGCATTAGAAAGGTTGAGAATCACTGATCTAGTAGCCCTACTTTAGGAGTAATTTACTGAGCCACTTAAAAATATTTTTTGTTTGCTGCTCCTTTCTTTTATTTATTTATTTAATTTATTTATATGCCGCCCAATCCCAAAGGACTCAGGGCGGTGTACAAAATTAAAACAATCATCGAGAATAAAACAATAAAATAATTCAATCATACCGCAAGTCCGATCATGTCCCCCCCCGGGGACATCAGCCCCAGGCCTGCCAGAACAGGAGAGTTTTAACGGCTTTCTTAAAGGCCGGCATGGTGGGAGTTGTTCGAACCTCGGGGGGAAGTTGATTCCACCAGGTCGGAGCCACCACAGAAAAGGCCCTTCCCCGAGGGCCCGCCAGCCGACATTGTCTGGCTGACGTGACCTGAAGGAGGCCCAATCTATGGGACCTCACCGGTCTCTGGGAACTGTGTTGCAGTATGCGGTCCTGTAAGTAACCTGGCCCTATGCCATGAAGGGCTTTAAAGGTGATAACCAACACCTTGAATTGCGTCCGGAGACCCACAGGAAGCCAGTGCAGCTCGCGGAGGATAGGTGACACGTGGGCGTACCTTGGTGCGCCCACAATTGCTCTCGCGGCTGCATTCTGAACCAACTGCAGCCTCCGAACGCTCTTCAAGGGTAGCTTTTAACAGTGCCAGTTGAAGGATATGTGATGTCCCTTGGCCACGTTGATATGTGCTGAAATTAAGCCTATGAACAGGCAGTCCTCGGCTTACAAGTTTAGTGACCATTCAAAGTTACAACAAAGTGACTTATGACTGGTTTTCACACTTACAACCATTGCAGTATCCCCATAGTCATGTGATCAAAAGTCGGATGCTTGGCAACTGACTCATATTTATGACGGTTGCAGTGTCCCGGGGTCATGCGATCACCTTTTGTGACCTTCTTACAAGCAAAGTCAATGGGGAAGCCAGATTCACTTAACAACCGTGTTACTAACTTAACAGCTACAGTGATTCATTTAACAACTGTGGCACAAAAGGTCATAAAATGGGGAAAAATTCATTTAACAAATGTTTCACTTAGCAACAAACACGTTGGGCTCAATTGTGGTTGTAAGTCAAGGGCTACCTGTATAGTGTATTATTGAAATCCCACACAAGGATCCCAACGGCAGAAATTCTAATAAATTAAGTGCCATATTAGCAACAGTAGCAGCAGCTTTCAAAACTATGAGACCATCAAACAAATATGAAATAATGCGGGTAGGAAAGAGTACATTGAAGCAAAAGATTCAGGGCTTCATCAGAATTTAGGCCAGAAAAATTCCTTATTATGGCCTCATTTGCTGTGTACTATTATGAGCTACCTTCTCTAGTCCTCCAGCCTATCAACTACAATTAATTGAAGATTAACCCAAGGATCAGTTTAGTTCTTGTATTGCCTGAAAGGACAGAAAGTTTATAGTGCATCCATGAAGGCCAATCTTACCACAACTTAGGAAGGAGAAATGGCAGCATTTTTAGACAACTGCCAGGTAGGGCACACACACACTTAATAGCAATTTAAATACTAAATAAGCCTTTAAAAATAAACAAATAATTATACCACATATTTCAATCTCTTAAACTAGGAACTTTTGAACTTGTAAACTTTATGCATTTTGGCTACACGTATATACTTTTTTTAAAAAAAAAACAAAATCTGCACCTGTAGTTCCTTCGCCTTTTCTGTGTTTTCCTTCGCCAGTTTTATACGTTGGAATGACAGTAATATCATAAGTTGTTAGAGGCTGGAGACGTTTCAGCACTGTGGAGGTAACAGTCGGAGGCACTTTAGCCACTATTTGTCTTCCTCCTCTACGGGGTCGGTAAACCACACGATAGTTGATCACTTTTCCAGGTGCTGGTTGCCAAGTGACTCTCATTGTGGTCTCTTTCTCATCATCTACTTTAACAGTCCTTGCATCAGGTGACACTTTGTAGTGTAAAATGAAAAATTAAAAAACATTACTATTTCTGAACTTCATTTAATCCAATAAAAGATACACTGAATTATCTACAAAGTAAGTCAAGTTACACTAATTCTGTATACACGCCCTGCTTCCTGCTTCCCTCCAAGGCGGAATGGGACAACTCTGCCACAGCCAATTTGCCATGGCCAACTCATCACAGCCAACTCTCCACGGAACAACTCGCTGGGGGACAATTCAACAATTCAATGTAATTATTTTAAATGATTCACATTTCATTTTTCCCCTCCCTCGGCATCCTTTCTTTAATGATTCTATTCCACTATTTCTTCAATATTAGTTATCATTCTTGTCCTGCAGCAATTTGTCCCATGGCGAGTTGGCCATGGCGTGTTGTCCCACAGTAAGTTGTTGTAGATCTTCCAAAGAACACACATGAAGGAACACAGACACATACGCACACATAGAGAGGCTAAAAGTAATGGGAAATATATGGATTCAGAAAGCACTACCAAGTTTAGGGAGATCCACAATTTTTCCTGAATTTTTATGTACTGAATTTGAAGCCAAGTGTTAAGCGATGTATTTCACTATATTTTGAAGAATGATCCCTCATATCTACAATTGTTTGATATTTTTTCATATTCGTACTTAGTTCTCTCCAGCCCCCTCAAAAAAAGTCCTTTTCTACTCGCATGATTATAATGTCTTAAACAGTAAATGAACATGATACGCAAGACTGATTCTCTCCAACATCTTGTCCCAACATTTTAAATTTATACAGAATATGTCGTTTTAATCTTCTTTTATTCCACATAGAATACTTCTGTACTAGATGCCATAGTTAATTACTTTAGCACTATTAGACCAATCCTTCCTAAACATCAAAGGCATACATAAAAACGGTATCTACATTTATGGCTGACTGGAAACCCCTTTTTGCATAAAATGGAAAAAATGCACTTATGATTTGTGGTTTTAGTTATTAACAAGCTGGATAATACAAAAGAGTGAGTTTTCTTTTGTAGTTATAGAGTAAAAGATAACTTTATAATTGTATTTCTATTTGCTGCAAAAAAAGTTGGAAGCTTCTAGTTTTTCTTCTTTCTATCCTTTTTCCTTTTTTTCTTTTCTGTTTTCTTCTTATTAGTTTGTGTTAGTGTTTATGTTCTCTGTAAAACTTTTTATTAAAAAATGATAAAACAACATCAAAGGAACGCTTTGAACTTTCCAGTACTGAACATCTGGAAAGTCATGACTAGAAATAACAGGAACTAGTGATCAGAATATAAGAGGAATAGTTCTACCTATCAAATCTGAATTTTTTAACTTCACTAGTCTGTTCAAGCATACCCAGACAAAATAATGCAGAGGCATTTCTCCATAATACTGCAATCCTTGGTAATCAGTTCTTGCAACTGAAATCTCCTAACTAGAACAGTATCCAGTGCTTTTAAAAATGTGGGCAAGCCTTATATCAAAAATTGAGTTTAATCTAATCATGTAAATATTAATCAGACTTGCTCTAACCAACTTAACTTCTATTTCTAGTTTCAAAAATATAATATTTGCTAAATTTACACAAGCCCAGAACTTAAGGGAGAATTTTTACAAAATGTTTTATAGATGGCACCTTGATCCACAAAAAATGTCTATTATGTACCCTGATCTACAGCCTAAATGTTGGAGATGTGGTTGTTTGGACGCTACCTATTATCATATTTGGTGGTCGTGTAAAAATATAAAAGCTTTTTGGATTAAGATATGGTGGAATATTCAAAGAATTTTTAGAAGGAGGGTAAAATTTACCCCGCAATTATTTTTGTTAGGTATTGTTACTGATTGTGATGCTAAGGAGGTTATGTTGATGTTAAATTTGATTACAGCCGCAAGGCTGTTAGTAGGGCAATATTGGAAGAAGGAATCTTTGCCTACTTTGCAAGAGTGGTTTTTTAAGGTTTCTTATTTGCCGGAAATGGCAAAGATTTCGGCTTTTTTAAAGGAGCAATCGCAAGAGAAATTTTATGTTGTATGGGAAAAATGGATAAATTTCATACAATATAAATTAGATATAAAAAAATATCATTTAGCTTTTTTATAACTTGTATAAAAAATTTTTTTGATATTCTATAGATTGTTTTCTTTCTCTTTTTTCTTTTTTCATTTTTTTCTTTCTCCTATTCTTTTTTTTCTTCTTCTTTCTTTCTTTCTTCTCTTTTTTATTTCTTTTTAAGTACTTTTTTTTTAATGCTTATGTCATATATATTTTATTATTAATTATTTTATAAGTTGTTAAAATTTGTTTCGGTTTTTTAAAATTTTAAATAAGCCTATATTCAGTTCTGGGAAATTTGGGGAGGGGGGAGGGAGGGGTGGGTTTGGGAGGGATAGGGTGAGGGTTGTTTTGTCCTTTTTTTGTTGTTTATTTGTAAAACTTTTAAAAAATTTTCAATAAAAAAAAATATATATAATATTTGCTGATGTATCACAGAGCGATAGATGATAGATGACAGGTGGAAGAGAGACAGATAAATATATATGAGAAGGTTGGCTAGAATGCTTTGGGTTCTTTTGAGTCTACTGCAATAATTTACTCTTGCTTTCTGTTGCTTCCTACTGCTATTCCATGGTTTTAGTTGTCCTATTGTAAGGATAGTTTTTAATTTATTAGTTTATCTTTTTTAAAAAACTGCTTTAAGCATTCTAAAGGATTCGCAAAATACCAGTTTTCTAAATAAAGACTAAATAAATATACTTTGAATGCTTTGCTGTCTTCTGTATTTTATCTACCTTCAGTTGTAGCTTGTCCCTCTAGAGGTGGCCCTTCTCCACTTCTGTAGGAAGCCAAGACTGAAATCTTATACTTAGTTTCAGGTTGAAGGTTTTTTAAGACAGTATTAACTACATTTCCAGGAACTGTTGTTTCCCCAGACTGGCCATCATAAAGGGATTTCCATAGAATTTTGTAATTCTGAACTGGCCCTGGAGCTGCTGTCCATGAGACTCCAACTGAAGTATCGGTTATGTCTCTAGTAATCAGGTCACGAGGAGAACCACGTTCTTTATGAAAGAGAGAAAAATGAGAATTGTTGTGGTCAATCAACACATACTCCAATAAAATTATAACAGAACAAAGTGAATTGCCATGAAATGAAATAAAAAGCATCCTATTGACTTCAAAGATATATCCATGTAATTTCCTTGATAACAATAAAGTTGAAATTTTGGAGATTCCACAAATTATTCAGAAAAAACTTTGGATCTCACACAAATACAGCACTTTTCTCTATTCATTAAAGTACACAAATCTTTTTTCAGGGTTTAAAGAAAGGTGGTGTTGCTTTAATAAATCAAAACATCTAAAAAGCCTGAAAAATGTCCTGACACTTTAAAGAATAGTAGAAAATTCTTATGATCCAGAACATAAAAGGCCCAAAGCACATCTGAATCATTTTCAAACCAAGTACAGCCACAGTAGTTATTACTTGCCTTTTTCCAGAAAATTTTTCCAACTTTTCAGTCAAGCCTACCACCATAGTGTTTATTTTTCCAAGAATGCATCAAGGTTGGCTAGATGCAACCTTAATACAACTTAGTTATATTGTACAATTCCATTTAAGTATATTCCTTGAAAGGGGTTTCTTCCAAAATCTTATACCAGTTAAGCTACTTTAATATCAATAATTAGAGTTCTGAAAATAAGAGTGCAAACTATAAGAATACTTGTAAATACTATATTACATTAAATATTCTTGAATAATCTATAAAAATGTCATGATCTCATGAGTGCTATCCATGGGTAAAAGGGGAGGCATGCCAAAATTTGAATGAGGATGTCATTATGCAAAGTTGCATAAGTTGCATACTTGAATCTTCCATCAGAATGCAAGGATATAATAGTGACATTTATGTGATTACTATTTGTCACCATGCAGTGATTGTCATTTTGACACTATTGTGTTTTCCTGTGGATGCTACTTAGTATTATTTGATGATTTGCATGCAAATTTTAGAATCTATATGCATCAAACAGAAATTTAAAGATAACATTTTGTAGTAAAGTTATATCCTCATAAAGGTTACAATCAAATTCATAGCAATATTCAACATTCAGTTTGACCTGATATAGCTGAATGTTTTGAATTCTACCTGTTACACCTTCAAATCTCACTAAATTGGTTGTTAAATGAAGGTTTAATTCTGAAACTCAATCTCAGGAGAGTATATACCTGGAAAACTGAAAGAGACCAGATTTCAAAAGTTACTTGCATCAGATTGTTTTCATTCTTTTGTAAAGCTGCTGTTTCAAATGTGGCTTTTTCTGTTAAATAAAAGGATGTGAATGCAATCCAAATGGAAAGAAAAATGGAAAAACTTGCTTGGTAGAATGTGCTGATGTCTTATAACAAAAGGTCTTTCCATATTTTAATACAGACAGATAAACCATTTTATATTGGCTACTTTACTTTGAATCCCTTCCAGATAATGATTTTAATATTAAACTATGATATCTTCAAATACTAAAAATTCTGAACCATTAACTTTGAAGGGAATTCTATATAACCATAATAACACTGTAGCACTGTGGGGTTGTATCCAGCAATATAACATTATCCTGGCAAAAATAGATTAATAGTTTCAATTATATTAAATAGGAACTATACTCCTACGTAACTGGAGACGTCATTTATTGGCAATAAAGTATAACTCATGCCCCACACACAGCCCCCTGTAATTTTTTGATTAAAAGAATAAAAAATTGGATTTTTCCAAGCAAGCAACAAAGTAGAAACCAAAATATGAAAAAAGAAATTGAATAAGCCCTTGGCCCCAAATGGGTTTTATAGAAATGTTGCTCTCAATTTCTAAGTAAGTACAATGTAATACAGTGATTTCAGCTTCAGTGCAGAAAATAAGAAAGTGAACTATATATATTTACTCCAGCTTCATAAAAACAACTTCTCTGCCCGCTCATTCTATAAAAAAACAGACCAAATGTTTAGGACAAGACATTAAAGCTCAGAGAAACAGTGAGATGTGCCATGGGACAGAGTCAAAGATACGTTAGAATTTGGCAGTTTAATGGTAGGTATGCGCCAAGCACTGAATGCATACATTGTTTGGAAGAGGTTCCAGTGGCTCATGGATTAGTTTTCCACATATGCAGATCATTACATGCATCTCTACTATAAATACTTTAGCCTGCTGAGTTAGGAAATAAGAGGAACGTGGTCTTTACAGCTGTGCTGTTTACTTTTTCAGGCAGTCTTTCCTAAACTAGTGGCTTCGTGATTTTATTATAGGAGTTGAAGTCCAACCTTCTAGAAATCCTACATTGGAGAAATTGGCTATTTCACAATTTATCCCTTAGGATACTATTGGATTGGCTATATTACAATGTACAATCTAGGATGATTACCAAACTGTGCATGCATTTTGCTTCAAAACCTAGGATTAATGGCACATCAAGCAACCAAGTATTCAAAAAATAACAAAGCTTGGAAGCAAAATTCTATTTAGTCCTGGGGATATAACATTATTGTTCTCTATCACCCATCTGCACCTTCTGAAATACCCAATTTCAGCAACTAGAGATCCTAGAAAGAGCCTGAAAAGTCACTATATGAGGACGACTGTTCTGCATTCTTGGATTTTATATGCTTATTTTATATGCTTATTTTACTTATGTTTGACTGTTTTTAGATTGTCACGGAGTTTTTAACTCTTACGTTGAACACTGCCGAGAGACACTTTTTTTAGGAGATAGGAGGCTATAAAATATAGTAAAATAAATAAACAAATGTGATTTCAAAATTGCACAATCCTGAAAGAAGGGACAAGTTGGAATCACCGTTCAGTGACATCTGGAAGATCATTAATCTCAAATTGCAGTGCCTCTGTTCTAAAGCAGTGGCCAATTCCTCCTATTACATCCTTTTTTTCCCTCCCTTTCGCTGATGACCACTTCATTCTATCTGATGGTAGGATCTGTTCAAGCATTAAGGTAAGGAAACTGTGCTGGGCATGTGGCGAAAACCTAATTTATAATTTCATATTCATATTATATGAATACTCCCAAAATATTACTTCACTCCCATTGTTTCCATCATATTGACTCAAACACAGGAACTTCATTTGGATAGGAGTCATTTAAAACTCACAACTGTTGCTTGAACAGCAGGTGGCAGCTGCGGCATAGGAAGGGCTTTGTACAACTTCACCTGGTGCGCTTTGTTGTATCAGGAGGCCATACAGACAGTCAAGTATCCCATGATCAATGTGCTTTACACAGGACTTTACACGGGACTTGTAGTCTACCCAGAAGCATTAACTGGTCCAGAATGCACCTGCATGGGCAGTTATGGGCATGTCTCAGTCTATCCATGAAACAACCCTGGTTCTCACGCTGTACTGATTCTTAGTTTGCAATTCAAACTACGGGGTCCTGGTTACTTGAGGAACTGTGTGTCTCCCATAATATCTGCCAAGCCAATTTTGATTTGCAGGGTTGACGTGCTCCAGGTTCCTTCAGTTAAACAATGCCATCTGTCAGGGTTCTAGAAATATGTCTTCTCTGGAGCAGCACCTGCCCTCTGGAATGAGGTTCTTCCTGAGATTTGGATAGTCCCCATCCTATTGTTTACAAGGGTCTTGAAGACCTGACTCTTCGCTCAAGTCTTTGGTGAACAAAAGTGAAGATCATTTGTTTCATTTCTGTTCAGTTTGTAATTTTTGCCATTTTTTACTTTCTCAAATAATAATAATTATTAAATTTATATGCTACTCAGCCAGTGGTGGGATTCAGCCGGTTCGCTGCATTCAGAGAACCAGCTGGCTTCCAGAAGTCCAGTCTAGGCCTTGGAGGCCTGAAGGAGGCCTCCCAGGCCTAGAATGGCCCACTGGAAGTGCATGGATGTCACTTTCTGAAGTCTGTTCTAGGCCCAGGCCTGCATCGAATAAGAGAACCGGTTGTTTAGGTATTTGAATTCCACCACTGTACTCAGCTCCCCAATTGGAGAGTTAATTGTTACTTGGATTTCTCTTGTTTTAATTGTTGCGGACCCAGTGACACTGGAATATAAATATGTGGGGGGGGAGAAGAGAGAGAGAATTTTCCTTAGTTCTCTTCACCTTATTAGAAGGGCTGTAGTTGTCTCAGAAAGAGAGTTGTGAAGAAATTTAGCCATTAAATCATTTAGCCATGAAATCATTCTTGGGAACACGTGGCAACCACAGATTTTCTTTAGTTATTTTCAGGAAAAATTCTTTTAGATCACATTTTATTCATAATTATTTAAAAAAGTATATGTGAAATGACTAGAAGCAAATCAGAACAAACTTGCCTATTTAATTCATTAGTTTTGTAGATCATCTTAAATTTGAAATAAATTATATGTACTGATAATTTTCAATATAAAAAAGCTAAAAAATAATTACTCTTCTCCTACAAGAAGCATAACAGGCACTAGTTTGTAGTTAAGGATTTGGTAACCTATAGCAGTGATGGCCAACCTTTTAGAGACCGAGTGCCCAAACTGCAATCCAAAACCCACTTATGTATCATCGGGTGCCGAGTGGGCATGGCCCATTGGGTGGGTGTGGCCCTTTGGGTGGGCATGGCCAATTGGGTGGGCGTGGCTGCGGTGGTAACGGCACACTGGGTGGGACTAAAAAGTTCAATCAATCAATTCCAACTTTGCGAGATCTTTTTTTCCCACGAGAAGTTGAAATTGATGGTGTGCATGCCCACAGAGAGGACTCTGCATGCCACCTGTGGCACGCATGCCATACGTTCGGCACCATGGACCTATAGCATATTTGAGAATTTCAGACATTTCAAGGATAGAGAGAAAAGAAATGTAGAACTGTACAAGTCACAGAAAGCAGAATATTTCCTATTATGTTTTTGGGCTGCCTTTCAGCATGCAAACCAACATGCTAACGAAAAAAAAGTCCCATTACCTGAAGTGAGACTTACTTCTGAACAAATTTTCCAGTATAGGAAGTAATAAAAGAGGTGATTTCTAGCTACCCATGATGTTCTCTACTACTCAAGCCAT